ACATTTGATGGAAAAACGCTAGAAGAGGTGAAAACGTTCACGTACCTGGGAAGTATCATCGATGGAGGTGGGGGATCTGACGCAAACGTAAAAGCAACGATTGGCAAGGGAAAGTCAGCATTTGTACACCTGAAGAAAACATGGAACTCAAAATAACTGTCAACCAGTATCAAAGTGAGAATCTTAAATACGAACGTCAAGACCTTGGGAACTACTACAACTATCACCGAGAAGGTACAAGTATTTGTAAACGGTAATCTCCACAAGATACTCAACATGTTGCCCGGATACCATCGGTAACAGCCTTTTGTGGGGGAAACAAACCAGCTTCCATCTGGGAAGAAAATTAGGAAGGAACTCTGGATGTGGATAGGGCATACATTACGGAAATCATCAAATAGCATCACGAGGCAAGTGATAACTTGAAATGTTGAAGGGACGTGGAAAGAAGGAAGGCTGATGAACACACTACGTCGGGAATTGGAAGAAGACACGAAAATGATCAATAGCAACTGGAAAAAACCTAAAAGGATTGTTGTGGATAGGATTTGATGGATAATGCTGGCAAGCGGTGTAAGAGGTATAAGTAAGTCATTTCCATAGTATTGACATTAGTTGTAATATATACTTTTACTTAACATGCCCCACCATCTTCAGTGAAAATAAAATCATTGATCGGACTAAAACATTGTATCCAAATATTTTTTCATGTGAAATTCAGTCACAGGGTAATTAACTAAACGTGCTTATTACTGATTATTAGATATGATATATGTATATATTCAACATCAGTTTTGCTATTTAAAATTTGGCTAAGTAGAGTAAAATCACATACGAATCATTTCAAAACATTACATAATAATATGTTGATAGTATAAAATGGAAAAAAGAATGGAATGTTTGAGATTGAATTAGTATTTAATTTATGGAAATCTACAATGTTATTGTTATACCCAGTATTATTATTTCTATCATTCATAAAGCAATTTGTTTTATAGAAAAACAGTTGAAACAAATATTAATAATTTCAATGGTTAAAATCATCAGTCAGTTGAAGCCAGACCACCATGGAAAACCTGGAAGCACTGGACGGCCGTTTCGTCCTATTGTGGGACTCAATCCATTGAAATTACTATAATATCCACAAAACCCATCTGATGCGCACTGCTGAGTGGTTCCACAATAAGACGAAACTGCCGTCCACTGCTTCCAGGTTTTCTAGCTCCAACTGACTCATGATCTTAACCATTGAAATTACTATAATATCCACAAAACCCATCAAATAATAATAATAATCGTATATGTATGTAAGTATTATGTGTTGTGTCTTGTTATAGTCAAAAGTTCAATTTATACTTACACCTCCAGAGGTCGAATGCTGTAACCATATTGTGCTACAGAACCAATTATAGGCAAGTTAATAACTTCTAGCTAGTAGTTTTTAAAGCAATGTTGAGTAGCAAAGATCTTTGAACTCAATCTTTTCACTTCTTGATATTAATCGGTAAGATGGATCTGAAATCTTTGCTGAGTTATTGCTTACCGTTTAATGTAAACGCATCTGACCTATTGTAAAAGTTAGGAGAATTGCAACTTAGCTCAAGTAAACATAATGGTTTTTTAAATAACCTACTAACCATTCTATATCTTGATCAATAAAATTCAGTGAGTATCAAATACTTAACCATATTAGACGGATGACGTTTAACTGATCAAATTGTGTTAACCAAATTCTCCTAAGACGGGGCTATTCAAGTAGAAGTCACAGATGAAAACAATGTCATTAAAGTTTCATTTCCATATCATTTTCTGTCAATTAAGTAATATGTCCTTATACAGAACAGTCAATATAATTTCTGAATTAGGTACATAACACTTTCTTTTTACTTACATATGGTCATCTCGTTGATTTATGAACAAATGTTGTTGTAAAAATGGATTACCCAGGTCAGTATTAGTTTTAAATTATACTACTACTTAACTATATAATTAAAAACATTTCACTGACCTTAACAAAATGTTTATCGATTTTCGGCATAATCATAATTGACTGACTATTGTTATTTTAATTTTTACGATAATGTAATTTTTCTTTTTTGAAAAAAAAATATTGAAAATGTAAATGCATGTAATAATTTGGATTGACTTATTTCATATAATCTGTACTGTTTAAAATGTTGATTATTGAATATTGATTAATTATTTACTTTTTATTTTAACTTTTAGAGTAAAGTAAACAATGGGTTCTTTTTAAATTTAAAATAAAACATTTCTATTTCCCCGCACAAACTGAAATTTATTTGCCCATTAATTTGTATTATTAACGTTGTTAACAATTCTTATAAGTTTTCTTATTTTTCCTCAGTTTACGTACAATAAGTTTTTCTATTTTGTATTTAGAAAAACAATTAACCACTTTCTTTCTTTATGTATCCAAATAAATGAGAATCAACCACCCTAATATATATCCTCTATTAGATAATACATTTTGCGGGAAAACAATTAATTCATCTTAACAGTCAGTATCTATTGTATACATAAGAAAACAAGGTCATTTCTTTATATAATACAATAATAAACATCGTTTTCAACTGGGTAGGAATGCAGTGAACAAGAACATAAGTGGGGACAAGCAAATGCGCTTGAATACAAAGTTATAGAATCTCTTAGTAAAATCTGAGAACCATACAGTAATAATTCATTTGTGAAATATTCATCAATTGTCTCAGACTTTATTATTCTTCCGTTTCCATATCAATCACTCTCTGTTCTCGTTCTTTTCTCTTCGATCTTCTCAACTTTCTGTTGCTAGGTATTCAACTTTCGATTGGTGATAAATACTACTTATATATGTTGATATCAGTAGCACACACCACAGCAGACATATCTGTTTTGAGCGTAGGAACAGATGTACCAAATGAAGGCACGAATTATTTTTACTGATCATCATTCAATTAACGTATACCAAATAAGACACAATTTGATCATGTAAAATAACTGCTATCCAGTTTTTATCTTTTAGTTGAAAAAATTCAATCAATTCTGAATTATTAAAATCGTAGACTTTTTTAAATGATTCAGTTTCTTAATGGATAAATTGTTATCAGAACAATTCACCAATAGAATAGCTTTTATCTATCGATCTTTAATGATGAGTGTAAAATCTAGGAGAGGTCAGTAGGATTGATACATCTTCAGACGCTTATCACTTTTGTTTGGAGTTGATAATAATTTTTTGATATAGAAAGAGAATATTTATACAACCGTAAAATGTCATGGAGCTAAACGGTGATATATCTGTTACTCTGAAATAGTTATTTTGCACTACTTGTTTAAAATTCTCAGTAATAAATTTATAATTTTTGCCCGACTTAATAATACTTAGGGATTTCATGATAAATGGATTATTTTTGAAAATTGGTAAAACTAATGTTAAAATGATAAAAGAAATTTCATAATTTATAAAATCAACAGAAGACTAAATATAGAGTCATTTTTAATTTGTTTCCCCTCGAGAAAATCACTTTGTTAAGCTTTCACAGTGAACGACAAAACTGCTACACTTCTTAAAAATAGTTAAATTCAACTTTAAATTTCTAGCATTTCTTAAGACATTTTGAATAAGTGAAGTACATGGAAATTTGTAATACAGTGATGCCCATACTCATTCGTTTACACGAATTTCTTTAATAAAAAACAATACATCAAGCGCTATTTAACTAATCAGCATCATCGTTAACACGTGACACAAATCTCAACTTAAAGCAAAACTTGAAGTCCAAAATTAAAACTTATGTTTTGACAAACAATATTCATTGACAGTTACATTTGGTTCCAGGATATTCATTGATATATGATTCTGTAGACTTATAGAAATAATTATAAAATTTTATTAATAATCTCCAGGTTTCAGTGTATATTCAGGAAATTATTTCTGAAAATATGATTCGATGTTTCCACTGACGCTTTAGTTTGAATTTATATATATATATATATATATATATATATATATATATAAGTAAATTTACAACAGGTGTACTTAGTATAATGCATTCCAGTATATGTTCATGAGAACATGAGCTTCGAATTTCAATATTATACGAGTTGAGTGGACGTACATCAGGAATAACATTAATATAGTTTGTTAAATCTTGTCTTTATTAATTGGGCCAGTCAGCTGTAATTTACTACCGAACCAATCAGGTTCGAAGTAGGGACATATTGATATCATGAATGGATCAATGTTAGATCACCATTGAATACCTGGAAGCACTAGACGGTCGTTTCGTCCTAGTACGGGACTCCTCGGCAGGGCGCATACACGATCCCGCACCTCAGACCCAGGACCTTCAGTTTCGTGCGCGAACGCCTAACCTGTAGACCGATGGGCCGGCATCCAACGATGTTAATGTCTAACTTCAACCAATCCACCATATTACGCTACCGTCCACCATTGTCTTCAGTGAGTAACTGCCTCACAACAGGCACGGTTGAAGTCAACTGGTCACGGCTCCTCACTAGAACTTCGAGAAATCCATTTTGAAGCTAGGCACTAGTATCCGAGCGCGAGACCGAAGGTCCTTGGTTCGAGGTCCGCGTTCGGAATCGTGGATGCCCACTGCTGAGGAGTGCCATACTATGACAAAACGACCGTTCAGTGCTTGCAGTTTTTCAATGGTGGCCTAACATTGATCCGTTCATGATATCAGTCTAAACTCAGCAATCTTCACAACTTTATACTGAGAGATATATTGGTTTGAGATTTTACTCTTTCAAAATGTGTTGTCTTGTTCTGATCTAAGGCAACAATCAGAAAATACTGAACAATTTTTTACAAGCAGATACAATTAGTTCAACTGTTATTCTAATGAATTATAACTTAGAACCATGTTAAATAAAGATTTTCAAATTTAGTTACAGAAGTTAAGAGAATATTCAGTAAGGAGTTTTTATAGATATCAAAACAAGTTATATTATCTATCTATCCATATTAAAATGATCTGGGGTTCAGTACAACTATTTTATCACTTATGACAATAATTTCTAAATGAATTAAAAAATAAATGAAAACATTTGAATCATTTGTATAAAGATTTGTTGAAGTTTGAATATTCAGTTCGAAAGATATTTAAGGTAAGTACATACAAGACATTATACGTAAAAATTATATTTGAAATAAATTCAGTGACAGAAATTTTTTGTCTATCAAAATGGTCTAACTTCTTAAGGGAAACAGTGAAAATTATCAAAAATACTTTTATTGATTGCCAGATGAAACGTTGGAATTATTTGTATTTCAGTCGCTGAAATTATTTCACGTATAATTTTTACGTATAATATTTGGGTCATTGTAATAGAATTTCAGATTGTACCATATTACATATCTATTGAATTCTTACTACTCAATGTATAGAAGACATAAGTATTTCGTCAAGAATATAATTTTATTCAATAAGTTGATTCCTAATTAGTAAATTATAAAAAAGTCTTTGCCCAGTGTTTTTAAATGTAGTATTCTTGTTTCCTTCTACGACATGAGAGGTTGAATAAACCTCGGTTTGATGATATCTTCACTAGCATTAAGCATTGAAGACTGTACTGAACTATAATTTTCAATTCGGCAACCTGTTATTAACAAATACAATATATGTGTGTCAGTAGTTATTTCAAGATGTTCCGAGAAGGTGATGATTTTATCGTCTATACTTAATTTCTCTTTCAATTCGTCATTGTCAATGTTATAGTTATCATTTTCAATATCTTTTGAATTCTCTTCATTATATTTATCGATATCCCATTTTATATTTGAATGGCAGGATTTCTTCGGTGCATCATGGTTTGCTGTCTGTTTTAGTCCTCGGTCATCAATCTGTTGGTTAGATGGGTAGCTTTCCAGTCGGTCTTGACGTTGATTCGATACTTCAATTGTTAATCGACGAGATAAGCCTATTAAAAAAAGAAAATATTTTGGGATAATAAGTTTAGATATAACTGACATAAGTATCAAAACAAGGTTTATTATTTATATATCGTCAGTAGTATTTTAAGTCTCAAATCTCGCCTTCTTTCCGGTCAGGGACCGTTTATGTAATTGTCTCAATAGATAAATATGGCGAAGAGTGCTGTAGAAATATATTATTATAAGACTAAAATATATCTGTTCATGCTTCTAAAGTTACTATTCGAAAAAAAACCAAAGTTTCAATTTTATTCAAAAATAATCTCATGTAATTCAATAGTGAGAAAGACTTAGATACAGAACAATCAAAGAATTTAAAGCTCAGTTACATAATCAAGCAGGGATTTCGGGTATATTCACGATGTTTTATATACGCGAAATAAAGTGTTCTTGAAACTGAAACGAGGGAAATTTTTTTTAATAAGCTGATTATAAATAATTAGTTCACTTATTCTTTCAAATAAAATATTGTAAAATGAGAATAAAAAGATATAAATGTGAAGACGATTTATTTGAAGACACTTCTATAAAAGTAAAGTTTAATCAGTTTTACAGAGTTATTGAAAGACGAGTCAATAAAAGTGAAATGGAGTACTAAATAAGACGAAATTCCTAAATTACGCAACATGATCTGAAGTATGATCTGTTTGTCGGTTAAATGGATACATAAAAGATTGATTATCGGGCATGGAAACTCACCTGCTGGAATTGGTCCCGGAGTATAAAAAACACGTATCCCACTCTGAATTGGTAGTTGTTTAATTTTAAAATATGCTGTTTCCGGACCCCAATTTACTAATTTCACTGAAAAACTACGGGTTACACCGTATGGTAGCACACCAACATTAATGCGACTTGGTGTTAGACGTAAACCACGCATTCGTCTAAGTGAAAATTGACCAAACGGTGGACCGCCAATAATACTTGTAAATAAGGCTCGACGACGTACAGGATCTTCAATAAGTGCTTGTTTTACATTGAAATTTGTGGCATGGCTAGTTCCATTTACCCCGTTGTTGCATTTAGGCAAACTGGGTCTTTTAGCATATAAATACTTTGGCACTCGAAGTTGCTTTTGTTTAGCCAGGGCAACAGCATCCAAAGGCACATGAGTACTGTGATTGTCTTCAGATAATAAATAAAAATACATTGTTCTTCTATATCATTTTTGAAGAGTTTTAGTCGCGAAAAATGGGAAATTATAATTGTAACATAGCGTAATGTGCCAAGTAGTACATGAGAAAGATTATGGCAACACAGTTTTGAGTAAGCATCACTTCTAACACTTTTTATCCTTCATTATGTAACAAATGTGGCCTTACTATTCACTGTTTCTATATTGCCAAAATAAGTTTAAGTCCAATTAGTTCATAATTAAAAATATAATAAATGGGTACATTATGAATATATTACACACTTCAGTAATGACAGAATCTTTTCACCAGACCTGAAGGATTTATTATTGAATGACTTCCAACTTATATCCCCAGTCGATCCCATCATTTTAATAACTAGATTTATCTAAGCTATATATATACTGAAAACCTGTGAATACGCTACATGATTCAGCTTTCTAGCCTACAATTTCCTTTAAATATGGTTATCCAGTTATCATAAAAATTCTTATATATTTTTATTGTTTCACCTCTAGCTTCGTATTTATCATACACCATTCATATAATTTAATATTAACCCTCATTCAGAAGTCAATTAGAACGACAAATCCTTCTAACGTGTCCGTAAAAATGGTTTCATTTTAGTCAGAGATGATTAATACCATTTGAAAACATTATAGAGTTAATACTATCGTGAAGTGAAATACTCCGATAGTTCTGAAATCTATAAGTTAACATCGGAACTAATAATTCTAATAATCATTGTTAGGCTTATATGATGAATTGATTTAAGCAAGAAAATTACTGAAACTCGTTCATTACATTATTGAATCTCCTTAGAAATTTGTACTTACGTTCTACAAGAAATCAAGCCGAAGGTAATCAAATCTCGGCTTCATAGCACTACTTTCAGATCACTAGTTTTGGATTTGATAGTCCATATTTTAAAATTCAATTTCATTCTAAGACAAAGACGTTGTTCAGTAGTTCCTGGCTTTCACTAATTGTTCAGTTAAGATGAGTCCCTTATATATATGCTAATCTTTAGTAAACTAATATCAGTTGATGCTAATCGACTGCTGAAGAGAACATGACTGTTTTTTGTTTTCAAAAATCAATTACAGCTTGAATACAATTAAGAAATTACTTTATTTTGGTATTATAAAGTAATGTATTATATTTTTATATATCATCTATCTACATTATCATCATAATACTTAAATCCTCAATAAAGTCACAATATATCTTCAAATGATGATGAACAACAACAGTACGGTAATCAATATCAATGTAGTTTTTTATTTAATAAAGAAATTCTGTGAATGTTTAATTTACACAAACGAATTATTTAAACTAATTAGGCCATTTTTATTTTAAAATATACTAATTAGGTTCGTTTATTCAATCATGAGATAGTGATTTTGTTATTGATTACAGAGAGAAGAGATTAGGAAAATAATTATTGATTTTTAATTGTACTCATGAATTTGGTTTATACAAGTATGCTTGATTAAGTACATTATACATGAGCAAATATATATATATATATATATATATATATAATTACTTCGCTTACCAATCATTTTAATTTGCGACGGGTCAATATCATAATAATAAAAACATTTTTTTGTTGTTTCTCTAGTTGACAATTCGATTCCAGTTTTATAACCGTCATTATAGATAAGTTTATTCATAGTTAAATGGCTATTATTTGTATTTCCTGTTATTCTCTCCGTGACCAACTCATTATCATTCTCTATTGTTCTTAATAATGGACTAGGTATATTTGGTGGAGAATCACTAAGAATTAGAGTCGATTGTTCTGTTAAGGCTAATAATATATAAATAAATAAATAAATATTGGAAGTATCGAACAAATTTAAGTTTAAAATAATCATATTGAGTTTCGAATCGGTGGTTATTTCATTTGAATAACAAGAGAAAAGGATCGGAGAAATATTTATTTTAAAAAATGTAGTACGACACTTCTTAGTATATTAAATGTATATGTATATATAACAAGTAGAAAAATATTGTTTCTGCTTTGTTCATTTATAGAACTCATAAAGAAGTTACCTCAGAAACGGATGGATAATTTTTTTGAATAATATGAGTGAAAGACATTTTTTAAATCTCTGCTAGTTACTAAGATAGGTTTAAGGATTTTGAATCCACTATTTACATATTTTTTTAAAATGGATTCTACTAACTAAACACAATGAGGGAGGTAGCATACTTGAAATAAAAATCGCTAAACTTTCATTGAATGGTAATTCATATAACCTCACTCAGTATTTAGTATTTCAAGGAGGTTTGGTATTTGAATACAGATTAATGTGGTGGTCATTGTTTAGTTATCTTGTAGTAGCAATAACAACCGCAGAATCACCGACCTCAGTCGAGTACTTTAAAACATTCGACATAAAACTTTTTGGACAAAACGTTTTACTATTCTCGAAGGCATGTGATTATGGCTACAGATATTCAGGAATATGTTCTAATCAGTCCTTGTCGATACATATCGACCATGAAGAAATCCATTGACATTGCCTATAATTTTAAATTTTATTCTTTTTATTTTGAGATCAGCAACAAAATTCAGAACTGGTGTTACGTTGTACTTGATATTTATCATTTAGATGCGCCTGCTTAACCAATACCTGAATAATAATTACTATACCTTTCTGAATACGCTTGTGTTTACTTAGAATCAGCAGCTTAAGTGATGGCAAGTTGACGTTTGGAGAAAGAAGTACTTATTCTGGGTCTCCATGTAAGTATCGAAACTAGGAGGCAGGTACATTCAGCCTACTCAGTCGCTGGGGACAGTTTAATAAATAATATATGTTCGTGAATTTCTTGAAGTACTTCAACCAAAAGCTAGAATTCACTGTTTGTTATTTGACGTGTTGAAGATATCACCTTTCTGTCCAACCAATGAAAACGCAGGTTAATGGCAACTAATTTAACATGCAAATCTCACAGCATATTCTTAAAAATAATAAGTCTTTTTATATGGTATAAAATGAATTTAAATAGCTTTTCACCAGAGGAATAATGAATACTCAGCAAATGACTCAAGGAGTATGTTGTTTTTCCAACCTATTACAAGTCCTAAACGTAGCGAATTAATCTTTATTGGTCACCGAAATTATTTCAGTGGAATCCGTCAATCATAAAAATTATGCATAGACTGAATCTACCAGTTTTTATTAATGAATGGATAAAACATACTATGATTTTTAGGGTATTTCATTAGGTCGATAAGTGTACTACATTTTGTATAATTGTAGTGAATCAGCTCATACCATTAACAGAATATAATCTTTTAACGCAAGATCAATGAAACGTAAGTTTATGAAATTATAATATTCATATTACTTACTTGATTTATCATTTTGTTTAGGATTTCGACTTGGTAGATTACTTAATTCTGGCACTAATTTAGACAATTTTTTCACATCGGGGATCTAGAAATAAAGGTTGTTTTGCATTTCAAACTAAATTTTAAAAAAAATTATGTGCACCATATTTCGACTCAAATAAATAACTATCGGAAATCAGAAAACATAAGGGTTGTTTCGTCCTAGTCTGGGACTCTATATGAGTGCTCACTCGAGATATCAAGAAGTTGAGCCTAGAACCATTGAACTCTGTGGCTAACGGTGCAACTTTAATCTTGTTTTCCAAAATGCAGTAGTCTACATTTTTTACAGCAGTCAGTTCAACAGAATATTCCACCTATACATTATTTAGGAATTTTACCATATATGTTAGTGACAACAAATAGGAGTTGCATTCTGCATCCTGTTAAGTCAAGGAACCGACAGAAGACAGGAAGATAGTTGGACAGTAATTTCTGATTATTATTGAATTTATCAAATGACCCTGGTTAGCCTAAGGAAATTTAGAAATCATCTGACAGCTTTGCAGTATGCTGGTAATATCTGACTATTGAACATGTACGACTCCCTGTCTGAGTTAGAGTTTCTAATAGTGTTAGTGAAAAATTTAAGAACTTATTTAAATGACTATCACAAGTTATTACGTAACCTACATTTGACAACCAATGCCATTTTGATCACAAAACTGAAAGGCTATGTCAGTAAAATTTTTGTGAAACTTACTTGTGACAGCAAAAATCCGATTCCTTCATGTGACCGAAAGTAGTTAGGTGTATGAGTACTCCTAAGTGCTGCTCTATCTCTCATTGCTTTCTCAATCTCTTGACGTAATAGTTTGAATGCTTCTTGTCTAGCTGGCGAATATTTGTTAGTTGCTACAATATATATGAGAAAAAGAATAGTTGCTCAGCAAGTAGATGAGTTAATTTGGAGGAGAAAAATAATAACTTATTTTAAATCAATATCAAATTACAAACATCTTATGTGTTTTTGTTAACACCTTTAATAACCAACACTAAGTGCTTCACATCAAACTTCTGTCTCTAAGTTTTAAAAATACCTCTCTACCCCCAAAAAGTAACATATTTGTCATGACTATACAAATTTTCCTGTTGATTGATGAAAACATTTTGTTGTACAATCTTTTTATTTCATCTATTTGTTAACTGTGGCAACATCGATGGAGCAAGTCCTTTAGCTCAAGCATATGCTATTTGTTTGTATGAACATAGATGAGTTTTTGTACCTAATAAATATTAAATGAAAAGATATGTGAAGATCAGTTTTTGCCCAATTTATGATAGTTACCATACTATGACGTGAAATATATCTAACAAAGCTCAATTGTTATTTATTTCGCATTTCTTATATATACGTACAGCGTGATGTTAATTATTTGTAACATTCTAATTTTAAACACTTCAAGAAAATTCCTTTTGAATTGTAAAAATAAATATTGTCCTATTCTTAAGGTTGCTGCAGATAAACATTCTGAAATATACCCAGTTTTTACATTGAATGCAACACATTACCAATTCATTTTGAATGGTGTAAGACAATATACGGTTATTCTCATAGATAAAAGAAAATAAACGCTTAATTTGAATTATATGTATACAATTACATGATATGACTGGTTAGAAAGAAAAAAAAACTGTTTCGTTGTTTTGAATGAATACATTTTAGTAATGATGTAATCTGAACAAAACTGTTATATATATATTATCCTTCAATGAATCAGTATGAACTTAATTAGCATTATTATTGTATTAATAAGCACTGTGAAAAATTCTTCCGTCTGATACGTGGAATCAATAACTTCCTTATCTTAAGTTTATCATCAGAAGTCTATCCTTAACACTGAATTTTATGAAGAATCCATCATACTTCATTAAAACTCACAGAATATCTAAACTTCTAAACATCAATGAAAGATCTATTTGTAATATATGTCTTTTGAAAGATAGATATTCAAACTTTTTCACCTTATGTATATCTTAATATACAAAGTCTTTTAATGTATATACACATATATATGCATACAAACAGATATACACAGATAGATGTGTATGAATAAAGGTAGTATTGAATTTAATGCTAAAAAATATTGTCATCGTTTTTTTAGTTTATTATTTGAAAGCAAAGAACAATAATAATGACCTAAAGACTTTTTTTTATAGATTATCATTTCCATATTATCAAAGTTTGATTTGATTAACTCTCTTTGTATAAAAATAAGGTTACTCAGTATTTCCTACATCTTTATTTACCTAGTTTTTAGCGGTTAAATCGTTTTATTTGTATTTAACTTTAGAAAAAGAAGTAATTCATTATTTCACTTTGATTTTTCTCTTTTTTAAATGTTGGTCAAAGTAGTTTTATGAATTATCACGTAACAGATTTATGGGCCACAATTGATAATAATAGAAATAGTTATTTGGAATGAACAACAGTTTAACATTTAGATATGGATTATTTTTTGTATTGAAGTGAACATAAAATGAGTGTGGTTTTGATACGTAGTTGAAAATTATATTTTTTATTGTAAAAATCAAATAATATTATGAACGAATAATTGAAACAATCTTTTTTATTGTATCATTAAAAAGATATATTGAATCAAAAAGTGATAACATTCGTAAAGACTCTACTGTTGAAACTAATGGAAGGATTCAGAGTGATGGATACACTTCGTCGATTTATCCATACTAGCTATTAAATGGGTGGTAAGTTCATAGTAAATGTTTTACTTTAAATACTTTAAAAGAAGCTTAGTAACAGTGTCGTGGGAGTATTAAAGTTCAGTTACCATTTAGTCCCCTTCACGCAAATGCTTACTGTTCAGCGTTGATATTGCTAGTTTTATATAACTCGTACAAGCCAGGACCTGTTGGTTAGCGAATAAACTTTAGAAATATAGATTCGAATAACAAAAAATTTAACATGTCTAGAATTAGAGTAAAATTCATTTGTCAGCGGTCAGAGGGAATATTTAGTCACTCGTAACTACTGATTAACTCACAGTCCACAAAATAATTCAAGATTTCATTCCTAACACACGCTTACGTTGAGATATTTCTTGACTGACAGTGGTTTGTTGACTAGGAGAACTGGATACATCTGTTATATTCTCATTTTCAATTGGATCTGATATCTGCTTATTTCTAGATAATACACTTGATACAGTTGGTATTGGATCCAAGAACAATCTTAATTCAGATTGCATAATTTCTGATAATCTTGTTGGTTGTTGACTGCACCATTCATTTAAACGATTGAGGTAGTATTCTGTGTAAGCGCATAGTACACCTAAAAACCTGATTAAATAATAACATATGATGAAGTAAAATTGTAAAACTATGTTTGTATAGTAGTTTAATGTTCAACAATGAAAACAAGCAAAATCCTTCTGAAATTCACAACTATTCAGTCAGATTAGCATAATGTAGAAATGCTCTTTTGTCCGACTATTTTAAAATGTTAAATAATTGATGGACAAACAAATAGTCTTGAAAGCACTAGATTAATACTTGCAAAAAGCCAGATTTTCATTAAATATTACTTAGCATGGTTATTTTTTGTGGTAGGTTGCTAACTCGGTACTTTAATATAGTTTGGTTAAACCGCATGACCACAAACTCACTTATATTACCTAGTAACTACCAACAGAATTCGAACAACACTGAGAGAATTGATACAGTGCACAGTCTGTGATTGCAGGTTGTACAATTTACATAACTAGTTATATTAATATAACTTATATGTGTTCAAACCATAATTGGAACTAAGTAAATTGAATAAAAGCGAACGAATGCTGTACGTGGAATCTCACTCATTGGTCTGCTATGCGTGACATTTTCATCATTAAGATATGGAGAGGATTTATCCAACATAATGCTTTTAAACTAAGCATATATAACTTTTTGTTATTTTGCATGTAATCAAGTACCGGTTATAATCTAGGGTGGAGCCATAATGCACTGCTTTTGATATGCAAACTGATTACAATTGGACTTACCTTTGATTAATTTCGGATGTAATTAATGGGAATTCAGTAAAGCGTCTTACATTTGCATGAAGAGCTTGATAATAAGCATTAAATTTATGATTCTCGCGTTTTATCGATTTGCCTTTTTGGGCCGGTAGAAGGGTGACGTTTGTTTCTGGAAGCTTTAAACCAAGATATTCCAAAGATGGCATAATGATATCTAGACCTTTTCCGGCTCTTTCACCTAATTTTCGAATATCTGAATGCAGGTTTGAATTTGATGAATGTGTTATAGTCTGGAAATCTCGACTGCTCAAACCCTCAGGAATAATATTTTCTTGAACGTAGTATTTTCCTGTTTCATTGGTGGATAGTGACTTCATCAGCGTCAGGCCGAAGACCTAAAGGGTAATGATATTTGATCTATCAATTTTATTCATGAGAAATAAATTTTTTACCTTATATTTGAAATTAGTCAAAGTTGAAAACAGGATGGAAACAAGCATTCATACTTGAGTATGTCGGCGGCCTTCTTGAATATCTGGGCTACCTGTTCCTGCTATCTAGATATTTCAACAAGTTATCTGTATTCTTATTTGTTTTAACACATAATTATTTCTATTGAGCGCACAATCTATTCGGGCGCGTTTATGAAAAGTTTACAACATTTCGCTGTACAGGTTACGGAAAGGTACAATCAGCGGCATCATGATGGCTAGAAGTGTGCATTGAAAAGAACGAACATTATTCAGATGTCAATACTCGAACTGCTAACACATAACTGACAATCTCTCAATATTTATTGTCAGGATCGATCAAGAAATAAGGAAAGGAAAGTTGTTGAAATACTTTGCGCTGAGAATCCTATGTTTCACCAAAAATATAATATTGAATAAAGCTAATGATAATAATGTTTTATTCTTTTATTCACATGTTTAATTTCATAAAATGTCATCACGATCCAACTGGCTGAGAGTTCTAAAGATTCATTGTAGATCTAATTTCTCAATGACACGTAATATGGAACAATATGATTACTGTGAAAATGCAACTAAAAACGATTTGTTTAATTCCGTTACTAAATGACTATGGTTAGAAATACGAGATTGGAAGCATCGAATTAAAATTCCTAATTGTTTACTATGGTATTTGTCTACGAGTTCTAGTTTTCGACCTTCAGACTCGATCAGGTAGAAGATATTAGCAATGGTTTTAAGATCTGTTCATTGTGAATATAATTCGTCAAATTAGATAGCCTCAAATACCTATAAAAAATGTTTAAAATCTATACTGTTTAATTACAAATGTACTAATACCCTGGGATTATTTTGCATTGGTTCTCTTAAGTATAAACCTTCATAAAAATCACTATCTGATGTTGAAGTGTTTTGACTTTTCGTATTCATATACATCAACTTTTCTTCCATTGTCAATTTATTTATGTGATGACGAGGTGATTGAATATTATGAGCTCTTCGAAGCAAGCACTTATATTCTTCATGATGTATGAGTTCAATAGCTATCCTTTTAATTGGATCAAAATAAAATAATCTCGGTATGTGTTCATCATATAAACAACAACCATCATTTGATATTTCATTATTATGAGGTTCATTAATTTCATTATTGTCAGCATTGTCTTTGTTCTGTAAAACAGTGTGAAATGAATCTTCAATTTGTTGATTGTTTTCATTTGTTAATTCAGTTGAATAAATTTGATTGACTTCAGTATTTAAGTCTTCATCAACAGTATGTTTTTTATTACCTACTGAAAATATTAAAATAAAAAGTATTAGCCATTTAATAGCCATTTGATTGTAAAAAGGACTTAGCCTTTCCCAGTTTTTTTTAAACATAACTAATGTTAGAAATTGGACTGCCTCTAAACCAATTAAGTCTTGATAATGCATTGATAATGCTTGATAATCATTGTACTTCTTATGATTGTATCTTAAAGATAATTATAAATAACTATAGTAAATAATTAAAGTCGCTATTCATTTCAGATAAATGAATGTAGAAATATATGGTAGTGGGTAATTATTTATAACATATGTCATATGACAAACTTCACGAAAAAAGCTAATGCTTTGAATTTAATGAATTAGCTTAAGTTTTTGAAACAACTGGAATTCAGCCAACTGATCATATAAACGACTCCCCTCGATTTATTTCAGTTTGGGGACCAGGATAGAATCACTAATTTCTACATAGGTCCTATGACTTAACACCAATTTCACAAAGTCTATATCGATTATGCAACATATTATCATTAATTATGAAGTGCAAAACACTTCATTAAATCTCACGTTGTCGTATACAACCGATTTAGAGAGTATGTGTCAACATATTTTAAGAAACAACAATTTGCTGTAAAGTTTAACGGCATGAAGTTTAGTATTCTATGTCAAATAATTCAGCAGAAAGTAAAGTATGTGTTAAATTGAGTTATTTTTGAATATCAATTCTTAAACAAAATAAATACATATCTTGCCTAGGTTTTATCCTCACTACAATCTGAATAGCTTGTTACAGTCAAATGAGTTAAATGTTGTTTCGGTTAACTGTATTACTTTAAAACATTAGCTTACTATTATGAGATGAATTACTAAATTCTTATAATACTAACCAGTTAGAAGAACATTACAATTTGCCCAGTTGTCAACTGTGTACACATTTTTGTGTGGATCAGTGCACTCCAACAAACTTTCCATGTCTTTAGATCGCATTTCATAAACAGTTGATTCATTGAGATTGACTATCTCCAGAGATTGGCTAGTGTAATATACTGAACTGTCTGGATTTATATTTAACTGGCCACCATTGAAATGCTACAATGTAAATTAAAATTGGCAATTATCCGACGGTAAAATAATGAAGAATTATCCTTATTATGATTTTGTTGTTGTGTTGGACGGACTTCGGATTCTGGCACTGATATACGCGCTTCCCATATTCGAGCTTAAGCTACTACTTGAGTGTTAGCGGGACATAGATTGGATTAAATAACGTTCAATGCACGCTTGCGTTGGCGCACGCTGATTGGCTAATTCTTATCTAATCAGCGTTAGTCAATACTTAGTGAACACTCTAGAAATCTTCTCATGTGAAAACTATAAATATACTAACGTTTTCCCTATTGTGCCTCTTACTTCCATCTAACCTTGTTATTTGAAATATAATCTCTTTTCCTGTTCAACTGTGTTCTGATTTGGGGGACTTGTCGAGTGAATTGGTGTCCGAGAATACTAAGCAACAGGAATAGCTGTGTCGTAATAAAAGAGAGAATTATAACATTGAGCGAGGAGAAAGAAAATAAATCGGCCGTTTATTAGCTGACCGGATCAAAATCCTATCAGACCCGTTTGTACATATATGAAAGTGTCCCCAGGATAATTAAGTCAAATCATAGTCAACAGGGTCCATCGTTACGATTCTCTCTCTTGAATCTTGAAATGGTGTGTCCGACTGCCTATTTAATCGTTTATCAAGCGGCCTGCTTGAGCATCTGGGCTACCTGTTCCTGCCATCTAGATATTTCAACAAGTTATCTATTTTTGTTTGTTTTAATATATCATTATGTTTATTAATCTCACAACCTATTCTGCTGCGTTTCTGAAAAATGTACAACCTTTCGTTGTCAAGGTTACAAAAAGCTCAAAAAGAGAGAATATGGTTGCTGGCAATATACAACGAAAAGAATGTACATCATTCCCATGTTCATTTACTGGACTGTTAACATCTAGCTGGCGACCACTCAGTATTTATCGCGAGGACCGACCAAGAAGAAAGAAACGGAAACTTGTTGAAATACTTTGTGCTGAGAATTCTATATTGTACCAATAATATAATATTGAATAAAGCTAATAATAATAAAAAAAATAATAAATAAACTGTACTTCATCTCAGTTACCAATCGATTTCCTTAATCTCTGTATTAAAGACGAAGTTCGCATGTGCACAAGTCATGTAACAATCACGGAACTTAGTTACTGTTATTTATTAATGGACTTTTTGAAACAGAAATTTAAATTGCAAATTGTAATCAACTCTAAAATCCCTAAAAGTAAGTAGTACCGGATTGGTGTTCGGATCATCTTTGGGAATACTTAACAATTAATTTATCAAAAACAGGCTTTCAGATGGATTTCTAAAGAAAAAGGATGTGGACGATAGAAGCAGCCCAATCAGGAGTGGGTCAGAATGCAGTTTAAACTACGAAGAAACGACCATTCAGCCCTACCAGGCTTTCAACGATATACCAACTGAAGCTATTTTGTGGTGAAAATTGTCTTCAAATTGTTGTTTATTGATCTCATCATCATAAAATGTATAACGGAATTGTTGAATCAACTGATAAATGTTTCCATTTATCTCATAATGTATTTCATACAAAATAAACTTAGATATTAAAAATTAATGTAACTATCTAATTTAGTAAACCAGTTCATAAGCTTCATTCCATCAGTTAATCATCCATTGCCAAAGTTGATCATGCGACCGATACATATTAACTAGAGCAATCATAGATTCCATCACAGTGAGGTAAATGTTTTAAGATAAATGTCGAAACAATTAAAATATCTGTACTTGTGGTACTACAATGTTAAAAGTACTAGAGAATCTGGTTCAAGAATAGAATACGTAATATTATTGATCAAGATTTAGGGGAAGATAAAAGACAAATGCATTTATAACATTATGATTGGTTGTAAGTTGGATCACGAAAAATCTTTAACTATCGATCGACATGCGGACCTGAAACAAGTGATCCTCACCCATATGCTTTGATCACCAATATTATGAATACTTATAACAAGAGTGACCATATTTTTGATATTCAAAACACTGATGGCTTTTTGAAGATTGCTATCAAGGAGCTCTGAAGACTTGGTATCATTACTAAAAAAGAAACGATTATAGAAATTTCATCTAGTGACAGTTTTATCAGGACATTATTATTCATCTAGCAATATTTAGTCATTAAGTGTAGAGTGATTAAGTGTAAATAACCTATATAGATTAGCAACAAGCTCAATATCCGAATTATAATAGAAAATTTGATCTCTTGAATTGAATTTTAGAGCTTATACCCTCTTGTTTTTTAAGAATTAAAACATCCTCCAATGCTCAATAAATTGTAATCCGAAAATAAAAGTAATGACAATGGTATTAAAGACGAAGTCTAAATTACTTGAAAACAACATGTATACAAAGGAACCACGTATTTAAGTCATGTATTTAGTTTCAATATAAAGAGAAACCCTTTCAACTAGACATCCCTAAGTAGCCTTATAACAGGACGATCTATCTAATCAAATAAACTCAACTTTAATATTTACAAGTACACATATATTTCTATGATTGGCTCTTATTTCTGAAGATGAAATTTTACTTGCCTAATATTATTTCTTACCTGTAATATATGATGACCTTTCGGAGTGAAGTGAAATGTTGATGAAAACTGACTTTTACCAAATAAAGATATTTCAAACTCGCCGGTTGATTTATTTAATATTACAGCAGGAAATCCGACACACTCTGTACGAATGAACATTTGAGGTTTGTTGGCATTTGAATTTAAATCTACAGAATTGCATTCATCATTCAGCTTCTCACTTGCCTGTACAGTAAGAAATGAAAAGTAACAAGCAATTATTTCATATCAAAACCTTGCTACGATGTCCATCTGGAAACAGTCAGTGACAAAATAAACATATGTAACACCGTTAAACGAAGCTCCTATTTCTAAAGTTTCATTTCATCCATAAATCGATGTCATAGGTTTTATTATTGGAGATTTGTCATTTGCTGATTATTTCCCTATTACTTTCGTCCTGTATAACTTGTAATCAATTTAATTACACATTGTAATTTTCTATTTGGTAGGAAATTTCAGGCGTATTATTGTATCGGTCTTGGTTAAATCCAGTGAAATGGAGAACTATTCTATTTTTCATCTTCGTCCTCTGATCGGTCATCGGGTTAGGAGAAGCTTGAGAGTCAATTAGTGTTAAAGTTCTAGTTATTCTTAGTAGATCACTATGTCAATTGGTAATTGAAAGGTCACCGATCCTAATGGTAATATAAGTGAAATAATAGATGACAGATTTCCTGTTATTATTTCCCGGTCACATGGACTCTATACAACATAATCAAACTGTTTTCCTTGACGTAACGAATGATATTTAAAACAAATAAAACCGATAATCATTAAAAAGGTCTTCTGGAAACGTTCTATAGTCCTAAACACCCCTAGACTATTAAGATGAACAAATAACCGTAGAATCAATGAATCAGAATACTTGATGTTAGTTGTGTCCATATGCATACATTGCATTTTATAAACTGAGGTACATTTAAAGATGTAGAATACTATGAAGTCTTCTGTACTTAACAATTACGGTTTGATTGATATTAATTCATGAAATAAACGTCATTTTTCAACTTTGTTAAACTTGTTAAATTGAAATCATCTTGAGCGGAAATGACTGCTTTCCGAAAAATAGAGTGTATTTGATTCCAACAAAGACAGTTACATTTAAATAAATTGAAAAACGTAAAATTCTGATTGTAATGTTCACTACCATAAATCATAAAATAAAAAGTTAATTATAGAAAAACAATTCTATGTGAAAAGATATATCATATAAGATTAAACAGATACAAAGTTTGCCTAACTACCGATGAATAAATTAATCATTACAGTTAGGTCAATTAGTTTTTAGTCTATCCACAACTAACTGAATTTTTTACAGTAATCACAGCACACAAACAATCAAAACAGAATGAACAAGATGAATCAGTACAGTAGAGTTTATGGATTGAAAAAACAAGTTACTTTGAAATGATCAACTCATGATATATTCAGGTTTAGTTGTCATACTAGAATTGGAATGAAAGTAAGAAAAAGAAAACAATCACCCGTTATTAATATTCCTATTATTAATTGATATTCTATTAAAACATGATGTATATAAAATAAACGAGACCTTTCTAAATGATGACTACGTGAAATTATAATTTGTCATGGAATGTAAAAGTATCGTACTTCAACCATGTAACATAAATGAATAATTTAGATGTAACTGATGAATAGGAAATGAATGCGGAGAAAAATTGTTCACTGTTAAGACAATAGCAAATATGAATCTTAGAAATGATAAATGGAAGAATTGGGTCTTGACAATTACTGCAGTACACATAATATGAAAAAAAGTCTTATATGGTAGAGCTTGATTAATGAAGCTTCTGTTCGTCCATTTATACGAAATTTATAAACTGTTACATAGGGATCGAATGTTGGTGATGATCAGGCTGAAAATCTCTATTTCTCTGCGTCCTTACTGAAACAATATGGCTTTCAGTATTCGATTCGGTATATACCATATAAGTAATTATAAATACAGTAAACGTTTCAACACCTGATTAAATTGTGTGACATGGTTTTGATGTTATGCCTTATATTGTCTATCTTAGGTTGTGTTTATTTGATTAAAAAAAGTTACCTTAATTCAAAATGTTATAATTACACTAACTTTAAAATAGAATAAAGCAATTACTCAACAATGAAACATTAACATACCAGTAAGATTTGCGTTAATCGTGTACCATCTGCATGTTGTACTATCAACTTGAATGGACTATCTGGATGAGGTTCAACAGCAATTAAATTGTCTTCAGGCCGTGTATATAATGTTTCTCCAGTGGCTGGATCATAGGCTCGGAACGATTCCATTGGTTTACTCGGATATGTTTCATATTTCACTGCATCATTTAAGCGTTTAGAACTTAGAGTATCTAAGTTCACTGACTCATGTGATACACTATCTGAAGCGTTTGTTGTTGGGGTATCTTCAACTGAACTACCGATATTTGTAAATGGTTTGATTAACTTGAACCAAAACCGCTCACCAGACAAAAGGGTAATTAACCAAGGTAAATTATCGTCTGAATCATTAGTTGTTGATCTCGGTGTACTGGATGGAGTCAAAGCGGTTGCAATGTCAGTAGAAACTAGGCCTGTCTCATTCCGAGCATCGTCTTCGGCTGAAAAGAATTCAGTCATAATTACATTTTTACACTGCTATCTATAAGCTAATTGTTTTGGAAAGTTGTTTTACCTGAATTTGTTCATTTTGTTTTTCGATTAACTTTCTAAAATTATCCGAGTCCTTTTATCAATTCAAAAAGCGTTAAATGAATCTTATCACATACGAGATATCAATTCATTTCATATGACTGATAGATAAACTTTAAAGCCTCAGTGAAGTCAAAATCGTCATGGCTTTCCATATCAATCTAGTCTGATGTAGAGTAACAAATTTTTCAAGAGAGTTTACAAACGTCTTCAAAATAAAAATAAAAACAGACGGGATCAGCATCAATTTTTCAAGAAAAAAAATGCTTTTTTGAATGTTATCCGCTTTCATTGATACAAATAGCCTTAAAACTTGTACTCTTTACTACAAACACAATTTATAGTTTGAACCTGTTATCTGTCATTAACACTTTGTGCATAAAACAATAAAAAAAGAATTTGTAATAATTTGTCATCAATTATCAGATGTTCTTGCTTACAAAAGCGAATAATGTTAAATTCACTTGCTATAAATAACTTTGTGCAAAAGATTTAGATGTTATTTCAAATGATTTATATATTGTTATTCTGTTTTCCTATATTATTTCTATCTGTTTATGTGTGCTCGGGGGTAGAATGACAGAAGGTATTATTAGTGTGTATGTGCAATATATATAAACTTGAATCGGACACTTATTGATAGTGTATGACGTGATCATGTATTCGAAACTACAAAGAAAAGTGATTACATAGTTTTGAGTGTTTTATGGTTAAAAGCGAAAAGTTCTGAACCTATGCTTGTAATTATTAGCAGCTGTTACCATGGAGTTTCTGCAATCTTGATGGGACTGTTAATTTCATTCAAAATTACCTGGTACTTAATTTTCATAGCGACTGGCTCTCATTTAATAATTCCAAACAAAATGTATTATCACGTAGAATATTGGCCGCATTACAACTTGATCAGTATAGATTGATCAGCATATATGACATTAATTGTTGGACACTGATAAATCAGTCCAATCCAAAATGTGTGTAAACAAACGTGTGCCATTTCTGCAAGAATTTTTGTTTCTCTTTTTTACAATTTCATTAAAAACTAACGTAAATTTTCATGGTGGATGTAAAAAGTATAAAACAGATGAATCATTCATCACATTCGTTAACATCCTAGTGACTTAATGTGTTTGTTTCATCTCAGTAGGTTTACTAGGCAAGTAAAAAAGATGTTAAATGCTACGTTAGACTTGAAAACTGAGACTGATAATATCAAGGAAAAATGAAGTAGTTCATGAATCAACTGCTTGTCAGCTTAAGACATGAAAAGCTATAAATTTGATGACAGATATTACCTAAGATAACATACAACGGAAGTACGACATTTCCTTCATCGTTCTTAGGTGGAGTTTCTTATTCCTTCTCCATAGAATTGAGTCAATCATTTTTAAACTATTTCGTTCGTTTTTACACTTTGTTGTTCTAACTGTTAACTATTTAAAGTGATTTCTCGGAATTTTGAATAAAATAAGGTGTGAATAGTCAAAGAAACATATTGTTAGCAAATAACAAATCATTTAAAAGTACTCTATTTCTAATGAGTGAGGTGTTTAGTATACGGTTAACAATGACTGTGATTTCTACTTCCCTACAAGTCATCGATAGTTAATTATAATAAAGGTTCAATGGTAATTTCGTAATCATTATCAAATGTTTTTATTTACTTTGTATATTAAGTAAACTTGACCATTAATATCATCTTTAGTATGTAAAATACTTGCATCAATATTATCACTTTCCTGGTTGATTTAAATTTTGAAGTCTTTAATCGGTAATGCTTACTTATTCCTGTAGCCTCTAGTGAAGAAACATAGGCCGCCCACCAGCATTCTCCATCCAGCCCTGCCCTGAGTAATCCTTTCCAGTTCTTTCTAGTAACTATTCATCCTTTTCATGCCTGTTTCCAATTCCCTACTCAGTATGTTCTTCAGCCTTCCTCCTTTCCATATTCCTTCAAAATTCCAAGTTAGTGCTTGCCTCATGATGCAGTTTACAGGTTTCCGTAATGTATGCCATATCCACGTCCAGAGTCTTTTGCTAATTTCCTCCTCAGCTGGAAACTGGTTTGTTCTCCCTTACAGTAGGCTCTTGCTGATCGTTTCCGGCCAACTGATATTGAGTATCATGCGTAAAGGACTGTCTATGAATACTTGTACCTTCTTGATGATGGTTGTGATAGTCCTCTACTTTTCAGCTCCGTATAGTAGGACTATTTTTACGTTCGTGTTGAAGAATCTGACTTTGATATTGGTTGAAAGCTGTTTTGAGTTCCATATGTTTTTCAACTATAGGAATGCTGCCTTCGCTTTGCCAATAATAAAACTAGAGAAATAATTTATTTTTAAAATATTTACTGTTAATAACAAAGACGCTTAAATAAAATTGAATAATTTACTTTTTTTCTCTTCAATTTTCCTCCTGGAACTTTTCCTCTTAGATGATGATTTTCTTGGCTGTATATTAATTACTTGGAGTGCACTTGGCATTGCTAGTTCCGACTGAATATTAATTTCTTGTTGTTTTTCTTCTTGTGGATTACTCAATGTAAATTGCGGATTTTCATTTCTCCTTAATTCTTCGGCAACTGTTGTTCCACGCTCCATAATTGCTCCGTCAGGGTAAAGAATCTACAATTTTAGTTCATGTTTTAAAAATGATGACTGTTAACAAATCATGAATACACAGAATGTGTATTGAAAAAACTTTTGATAAACAATGATATTCAGATAGTTTGTAAACAACATGGAAATACAAATAATTTAGGTACTTGATATTAAATGTTACTTTGTTACAATACAAACTGGAACCATGAATTTAAAGGAAACTAGTCTGTCCATAGAACAACATACTACACGTAATCAAGGAATAGTCATAATAACAGGAACATATTACTTCATTATAACTCTCATAGAAATAAACATTAGGATATTAGAATTTCATAACTGTTTCGTTCAGAGATCATTACTCGTTTGGTTTTGGGCAAGGCAATAAACTAAGAAGTAAATCTCTTTTTTAACATCTAACTTCTCGTTGTGCAGATTTGTTTTAATCTGACCAAGTCGTCTCAAATGAACTTAAAGAATTATGATTACATAAAATGTCTGAAATATTATGGATGAATAGGGTCTGGTAATGCCGGATTTAGATTAAGCTAAATCTATAGTTATTTTTAGTTGCTTTGTAAATCCTGAGCTAATATACAGAATAATAATTTATTTGTAAAAACAGATCAAAATAGTCCTAATATGGTTTAAACTGACAATAAAACTATAAAAGTCTTTTCCATGTATCCAAGTCGACGGTTACAGGGAAATGCTTGACTGTACCAGCGTAATAATTTTGATACAGTTTCATTAAATACTATCAGTTCAATGTACCAATTGTAAGACTGGATAGCACTTTTAGATAACTCAGAGATGTTTAACGTCGGCTTCATGTGTATTTGACTGCTGATATGACGTATTTCTGAACATTTAGTAGTACTAGGATGTCAGTGTTTGAACTTTAATATGACTAAATAGTATTCCATTTCAATGAAGACATTAAATGGTGAATATTTGCAACCTTTAATTCAGCTCACTCTAACTGCAATTTACACACTATAAGAGACACATAGATATTAGATATTTTGTGGCACTACATAGCACTGGTTAAATCCTTAAAATCTCATATCTATACAAATAATGCTTAAAATGCGTTGCTATAATACATTATAGTCATATAAATTTATAAAATAGAAAATAATTTCCACTGACCCTGATAGCGCATGAGGCAGATGATGTGCAACTGGGCATTAAAATTTGTATCACTATACCGTCGGATGTGATAAATCGTGTAACTTCGTATTCTTTATCAGACCTTTTTTTCAGGTCATCGATGTTGATACTATCATTGACACAAGTTCTGGCTGACGATAACTTCAATAATATACTATGTTGTGAGTTTAAAAGTGCATTATTTTGCCCATCGTTTGTTTGACATTTACTTTCTGGATTAATTAATGCTTCTTTTGAAGGGATATTTTCTTCTGCACACTCATCAGTGGCACGATTTGAAACTTCATCTAAAGTAATATAATGTTACATCAAGTGAAACAATTTTGAAAATAACTGCTGTTCGACAGTATTTAGGAAACAAATTCAGTTGTGTATCCAAACAAAGTCAAAGGCTATATAGTATTTGATCAATATGTAAACCTTCACATTGACCCTTCTAACCGTTCTATTACATTACTACTACTTTAATGTCAGAATATAATATTTGAATTCGCTTTTCACTTGCTTTCAACTCCCATCAAACTAACATAAAACGAAGGTATTCAATATATAGGTACACCCAATCTAATTTCATAGTTGACTAACTATGTGCAAATGATTTTCTTATTATCATGAACAAAAGTATGACATTTAGACTACGTCATGTTAAAGAAAAGGTGAGTATTTTCTGAATAAACAAATACGTGAAACATTATTATTTTATCTCGAAGAAACATAATATTTCAATATTTATAAACGTTTGTATATACACACGCTATTCATCAATAGTTTTTAAACTACATAAATGTCTTCAAACCATTGATTGATAAATCCTAACTAGGACTGAAAGTAGATAGCAAATTGTCATTTAGAAACTTTTATAATCGCACATAAGTAACTCAATGTTGTTCAAAATTTTACTTGTTAGTAGTAATTTAAATTGAATAACGGTTGCGGATGTAGTTTGAGAAGATGAAACATTATATGGAAGAGAAGATTACGTGGAAAATCTTTCGATTATCTACAATCATTTAGACAAATCTATCGAATGACTGAAAGTTATCATTTTCCATGTCATTGACATATATTTGATAAGTTATCAGAATGATAAATTCAAGCTAATTAAATATCACTAAAATATTCGTTAAAATTAAGTATGAATCTTTTCATTGAATTCTGATCACTCTCTTTTTGGTATATGTACATAATGGATGACAGCTAGCGGTGGAATTCAACTGACGAGTTTCAAATATGAGCAAACACCCTTCCTAGATCCTATGACCAGCTACTTTTCATCTTTACTTAAATATTCTATTAAAATGATTATAATCTTTTAAGTAATAAAATAACTCCGCCTGTAGCTCTTCTAGAGTTACTGCCGGTCCCAAGCCCGGGTAAAGGAGGAGGGTTGGGCATGGGGTTAGCGTCCCCATCCCGTAGAAAACTAACTCGCTAAAAAAACGCTTACCAGAAAAAATAATTCAAACCATTTTAACTCTGCCCTGAGAGTTAGAAGGTCTTCATTTAGAAGAATTATGACGCTTCATGGTGAAAGCCGAGTTCCTTCGGAAGCCACGAGGCCGATGCCCCTTCTAACAACCAGAGCAAAAATTTTTATAGGTACATGGAACGTCCGAACAATGTGGGAAACCGGGAAGACCAGTCAAATAGCAATGGAAATGAGGAGATACAACTTAGCAGTACTGGGGATCAGCGAAACTCACTGGACCCAAGCTGGACAGAAAAGACTAGCTACGGGAGAGATGCTGCTATACTCCGGTCACGAAGAGGAAAATGCTCCACACACTCAGGGAGTTGCTCTAATGCTGTCCAAAGTAGCACGAAATGCACTTGTAGGATGGGAATCCCACGGATCCAGAATCATCAAAGCATCATTCAAAACAAAGAAGGAGGGGATCTTAATGAATATTATCCAATGTTATGCACCCACCAATGATAGCAACGACGACATTAAAGATCAGTTCTACGAGCGGCTGCAGTCAGTCATTGAGAAATGCCCAAGAAAGGACCTCACCATTCTAATGGGAGATCTAAATGCCAAAGTCGGAATAGACAACATCGGATATGAAGATATTATGGGGCAACATGGACTGGGAGAGAGGAACGAAAATGGAGAAAGATTTGCAAATTTGTGTGCATTCAACAAATTAGTCATAGGAGGCACAATATTTCCACATAAGCGTATACACAAGGCTACATGGATCTCACCGGACCACACTACAGAGAACCAGATAGACCATATTTGCATCAACAAAAAATTCCGAAGGACAATGGAAGATGTGAGAACCAGGAGAGGAGCTGACGTAGCTTCAGATCACCACCTAGTTGTAGCCAATTTGAAACTGAAGCTAAAAAAGAACTGGACAAGTGGACAAACAGCAATACAAAGGTTCAATACAGCCTTCCTTCGAGATACTGTCAAACTCAATGAATTCAAGATAGCTCTCAACAACAGGTTCCAAGCCTTACAAGATCTACTGAAAGAAGAAGAAACTACTATGGAGGACAACTGGAAAAGTATCAAGGAAGCATTAACTTCGACGTGTCAAGAGGTTCTGGGTCTAAAGAAATACCATCATAAGGAATGGATCTCTACGAAAACACTGGACAAGATCAAAGAAAGGAAGAACAAGAAGGCAGGAATAAACAACAGCCGAACACGAGCAGAGAAAGTCCAAGCACAAGCTGAATACATAGAAGCAAACAAGCAAGTGAAGAGGAGCATTAGAGCTGACAAGAAGAAATACGTGGAAGAATTAGCAACGACGGCAGAAAAAGCTGCTAGAGAAGGAAATATGAGACAACTTTACGATACAACGAAGAAACTAGCAGGGAAATACAATAAACCAGAGAGGCCGGTCAAAGACAAGGAAGGCAAGCCAATCACTGAAATTCAACAACAGCGTAACAGATGGGTAGAATACTTTGAGGAACTCCTGAATAGGCCGGCTCCAATGAATCCACCGAACATCGAAGCAGCACACACAGATCTTCCTATAGATGTCAACCCACCAACGACGGAAGAAATTAGAGCGGCCGTCAGACAAATCAAGAACGGGAAAGCAGCAGGACCCGACAACATACCAGCTGAAGCACTGAAATCAGACGTCGAAGTAACCACAAGCATGCTTTACCCTCTATTCAAAAAGATTTTGGAGGAGGAACAAGTGCCAATGGACTGGAAAGAAGGGCACCTCGTCAAGATTCCAAAGAAAGGAGATCTGAGCAAATGTGAAAACTACAGAGGCATAACACTACTGTCAATACCAGGGAAGGTCTTCAACAGAGTTTTGCTGAACCGGATGAAGGATGCAGTAGACGCTCAACTTCGAGATCAACAAGCTGGATTCCGTAAGGATCGGTCGTGCACAGACCAAATTGCAACACTACGGATCATCGTCGAACAATCGGTTGAGTGGAACTCGTCACTATACATCAACTTCATTGATTATGAAAGGCATTTGACAGTGTAGATAGGAGGACATTATGGAAACTTCTTCGACACTACGGAATTCCTGAGAAGATTGTCAATATTATCCGGAACTCATACGACGGACTACAGTGCAAGGTCGTGCATGGAGGACAGCTGACAGATGCATTCCAAGTAAGGACCGGGGTCAGACAAGGCTGTCTACTCTCTCCCTTTCTCTTTCTTCTGGTGGTCGACTGGATTATGAAGACCTCGACATCTGAGGTTCAGATGCAGACGTAAAGGCGAGGATTGGCAAAGCAAGGGCCGCATTCCTACAATTGAAGAACATATGGAATTCAAAACAACTTTCAACCAATATCAAAGTGAGAATCTTCAATACGAACGTCAAGGCAGTTCTACTGTATGAAGCTGAAACTTGGAGAACTACAACAACCACAATCAAGAAAGTACAAGTATTTATAAATAGCTGTCTACGCAAGATACTCAACATCCATTGGCCAGATACCATCAGCAATAGCCTTCTGTGGGAGAGAACAAACCAACTTCCAGCTGAAGAGGAAATTAGGAGAAGACGATGGAAATGGATAGGACATACATTACGCAAATCGTCAAACTGTATCACGAGACAAGCCCTAACTTGGAATCCTGAAGGGAAGCGGAAAAGAGGAAGGCCAAAGAACACATTACGTCGGATAATAGAAGCAGATATGAAAAGGATGAATTACAACTGGAAGGAGCTGGAAAGGATTGCCCAGGACAGGGTTGGATGGAGAATGCTGGTGAGCGGCCTATGCTCCTTCACGAGGAGTAACAGGCGTAAGTAAGTAAGTAAGTAAGTAAGTAAGTAAGTAAGTAAGTAAGTAAGTAAGTAATAAAATGGTTAGGTTTCAAAACTTCTAGTTTTATAATGTGAATTGGCATGTTATTTAATATTGGATCGACATTTAAGCATTTTAATACACTACCTCTATAAAACAATTAACATGTCTTTACAGTGTTTTCGTATTTATATTCTAGTAGCATATTTGATCTATACATGGATAAATTATTCGGCTTATCAGTAGTTTAACATCACATTCTGTAATGCATTCAAATAGTTTACTTACCAACTGAAACCGTATTACAGTAGAAAAGTAATAGGTGAACATGTGAATTTCATCAAATCCGAATAACTATCAGTGGCGTAAAACAAATGTTAACTACATCTACTTCATGATTTCGAAAATATTTGTGTTTGATTGATAATATGAAACCTATACAAATTTTAGATTTACTGCTAGTCAGTTTCAATACAACAATAATGGTTTAAAATTTCCACTTTATTTTAAAACGAAACAACTTGGAAGGAAGACACCAATTTGTCTGGTAAATTTGTATTTTTGTAATGTTTGACCAATTAGTAGTAATCGATACCATGTTAGTCTAGTCCTTAGTTTTATTCAAATTGCAATGTTGCTACTAGTCTAGGTGATTTTACGTCGCGTATACTATGTTTTAATGTTAGATGGTTGGGTACCGTTGGCAGAAAACCCTAGACTTAGGCTTCTTGTTAGTTAGCCCTTACTAAAAAGGTATACATACAATATTGAAGGAAACGATGTTCCCTGTAGGATTCTAATTTACACTAACGCGCTTCATTAAGTGAGATGATTCGATCATCACCAGAGAATGGATTAACATGATATTGGATACTACATGGTAGTAACTACAGATATATCACCCCTACCAAAGGCCAGTCGTAGCCTCGAAATCTCACTGATAACGTTAAAATCCCATGGAGAGAATCAGTTCCTTTAAGACAGTAGATGAGGAATATCTTCCTACTGTAGGTATGAATTGTAGTTTAGTCATACAAAACACGTCAATTTACACGGTTTAAACTTGAATGTGATATTTTTTCTTGAATTTATCAATTTCACATTTCAGGAAAACGTGCTGAATTCATAAATACATTGTGAATATGACTGCTTGTTACACGACTTTATACGATACACTGATTATAAATGACCTACAGTTCATACTAATCATACTTTAAACAATATTAGTGCCGTGTGTTCATATTTCGCCTTTCTTCATGCATTATTGAACTTCTTGTGAAAAATGTTCTCGATATTATGCCTAGTACACTATTCAGAATGTAAATAACAATGTATTGACGACAAAACTAGCACAAATTGACTTACTGACACAATGATAAACAGCTACTTGTGCACCGTCAGGTGTGGAGAGATGTATGAAATGTTGAAATGGTTTATTTTGTGTAGTTTCACTGTTATCATTCAAATTGACAGAATTTGGCCTGATTCGACAGTCATTGTTATTATCACTATCACTATTTTTGTTAAATTTATTCAGTTGATTAGATTCTATTTGATAATTCGGATTAGGTTGCTATAAAAGAAGAAAAATCTAATAACTGGTGGTCTTCGAGACATAAAAGCGATTTCAAAAAATAAGCTTTAGATATGCTTACATAGATTCATTTAGCCTTATGTTACATTTAATGGCACTGTGGTGTGTGCTATTTATGTTAACATAAGTAGTGTATAACGTTAGTCAGGAAGAGAATGTCTGGCAGCAGAAAGTCGAGGAGGAAAGAACCGTAACAGAAAGCAATTGGTATGGAAATGCAGGAACAATGAAGTCTATGATTATTAATGAACACTGCAAATGAAGTATTTACTGTATGGATCTCAGATCTTACTAAGGCGTTCTGTAATTTTGTGTTCAAATGTATTCGATTGTCCCCTCTTGTGTTCTCGTTCACCGCTGTTTATTTAAAAATAAAACTTCACATTTCAGAGCGACATTCGGATATTTTATCCCAAGCGTTCTCAATATTGATTACGGTAGGAATACAAATATCTTTGGAATTTCTTATCAATAAGCATGAAATTTATGAACAGTATCTATAATAGTTAATTCACTAGCGGATCACGACTTAGCTAGTATTAAAAGATATTACCCTCAAATGCCCTGGTATAGCTGAGGGTGGGGAGATTGAGCTCTCCCTATCGAAAGGATCTCACATGGCCATGCCTATGCGGACACTACGATTGAAGTCTTCACGGCGGGGATGTTGTTTACGAAATTGAGAGGACGAAAAGCGAATGTCCAGCCCTTCAACCGGTTTAGTGGACACGGAGGGTCCACCTAATGAAGTTGGAAAACCCTAGTTCCAAGCCAATGGTGTACATGGGCTTTTAGTGGGGCCCTTAATTTTTTCGTCATTTAGATCAAACGATGTTGTCGAAAGGGCTCTCCACTTTAGTGGCCCGAGTTCTGACTTTAATTCGATCATATGAATGATTGTTATTGAAATATATATGTTGCCTATCCTTGTATATAATCATCGACTTAAATCACGTTAGTCAATAACGGAATTACATAAGTCAAATAACGAGAATGAACTTTTGAATACATATATTTCGTATATAGAGCGAATGGCATAGAGAGAAGAGAAAGAACGCAGAGTGGAAATGGCTGGTAAGCCGACTCCTCTTTAACCAAGCGTTAATCGATATTTATAGTTACACAAAAATAAGTTACAGACATGTGATAAGAAATGTACACTCACCTACGCGGTGATATAAAAACAGTCAAGATTTATAAGCGAATAAATAACAAGGTCAAAATGTGACTCAAGTAGAATGAATAGAATGGGCTGTCCGAAAGCTAGAATAAGGTATATGGGCTTAACATAATAACCGACACTACAGGCTTCAGGATCCTGAAGGAACAAATCGCACATGAACCAATTGTTGGTCACCGACTTTTATAAGACTGCATCTCCTTATGTTGCTCCACTGCCTTGTGGACCAGACATTTGGGTCGAAGGCCCCGAGTGTGGCCCCCTAAGAAAACCTCCTGCCTCGGTCTAGGCAGCCGGACAGTATCTCAGCCCATATACAAATCAAGTGAGTTGTGTAGCGCTTATGTATTCGGTGCCGATTTGTACCAATATTTATGTGTTCAAATAAATAATAAATAATAGTTGACATCAATCATGTGTTATTTAACAAAGCATTGATGACCTTGGAAACATTTGTATATTTCAAATCAGTCCGCAGATACTTCATCATACGATTTGCATTTTTTCCGAATGACAGTAATTTAAAGCATTATGTTCTATAACACGTTACTTATTTCTTTTACTTCTCATGTGCGGGGTAGATATAAATGTTGAATGTTTAAGATTTTAGAGGAAATACACTGCCTTACCTAAGATTGTTTAACAGCTAGTCAAGTATAATTGTTTATCTGGGCAAGTTAGAATTCAGAGTAAACATATCGTTATAGAGGTAAGGATAACTAATACTGATCTAAGACGATAATAATATAATACTTGGGATGGGCATGAGAAAAAGTAATTTATTGGAAGAGAATTGTGAGTTGATTACATCACGGTCAAAATATAACACCAAATTTACATTTTATTTTATATAGCATAAGGTCTGGATAAAAATAATAATCAGACAGGTTACACTTTATTCAATGGCTAATCAGTGATTTATATAAGTAGTTAAAGCCTAATACATATATGAATTTTCTGACCTTTAGATTCAGTTTAAATGAAGGGGTCTGATAAACCTGCAGTAAATTAGTTACTTCTGTAAGTATCAGATACCGATCTGTTTGAAGCGTTAAGTAATCTTTTCACTCTTATACTTGCATACACGTCATAACATTCAATGCAAAAATAAGCTCGGAAAGTTTGTCAAGCAGTTGATCGATCAATATATTATCAAAGAACTAATTAATTAAAGAAGGAATGAATAAAGCAAAGAAATTTCTTTTCAATTATTTCTTCATTATGGCTCTACACTAATATATACGTAATAATTACATAATTACATTTTGATTATAAATTAACATTGAGTAATTGGAAGAATGAAGATTAATAATGATCAAAGTAATAATTCGAAAATCAAGAAGTTACTTCGTTGCATAATATATGAAAAAGAGAAAGAATGGGAGTTTTAACTAATTAATTATTGATTTCCTTTAATCTGGTTTGGATTACTGAGAACATTTTATCAATTAGTTTTCAATATGTAAAAATGTAATGAAGTTAAGTTCTTGATGTATCGTATTCAATATTTATTACTAGCTATTTTTTTTATCAAAATGAACTAATCCATCGTTAGATCTCAATTTAAGAAAGCATACAAACTTGAATAAGCTTTGAATAACACAGGAATTCTCAATTATTTATTTAATCATATACTATTTAAGACAAGTATATGTACTAATAACCACAGAATTTAGATATCCAAAGTTTAATAATCTGAGATTTACTGATGACAGTAGTATCATATTTACTGGTCAGAATATATGAAAATTTCAAAAACATTTCATTACATTTAATACATCGTGAATTTTCTTTCCATTTTTCGTGAGGACAAAAGTTGTTTTTACACTGATATGTTGAAATTCAAATCGAAGTTCATATTTTTTCAACCTATAGAATTCTAACCATGAAAAAACACAAACATTGGCTATTACAGCCCAAAACATTTAGTACACTATTGAAAGTGATGTAATTGATATGAATTTCAGAAATGTTTCTCATCAGTAAGTTTGAATAAACAGGTGATCAAGTTGAAAGATATATTTTGATGTGTGCTACTGATGTCGACAGTATGTACCACCAATCAAAAGGGAATAACCTGGCAGCAGAAGGTTGAGGAAATCGAAAAGAAGAGAACGAGAACAGAGAGTAATTGGTAGTAAAGTGAAGATATAAAAAATTCTGAGACAACTTTTGGATATTTTGCAAATGAAGTATTACCGTATGGTTCTCAGATTTTAGTAAGATATTCTGTAATCTAGTTGTCTAGCACTTGTGTTCTCGTACACTACAATAATACTGATGATCAATGAAACTCTATTTTTAAGTGAATGTATGAAGTATCAGATAAACTAAATGAAATGTGTAAAATAATTGAGAAAATATTACTTACTGGATCAATTTTGTTCACTCTAGACACAGCCAAACAGATGCCATCAGAAAAACAAGCTGTAATCGAACTGAATAATTCTGGTGATGAAAAAGTTTTTAAGCCATCACATCCCTCCTGTACAAAATCACAAAATTTTACACTTAATTTAACATGATACTGAGAGTTTACTTTATGATATAAACAAATCTATTATTATCAGAATGGGAGTTTGTGGAGATTATAGTTATTCAATAGTTGAACTCATTAGTCGGTCTGAGTTGGACCACAATTGGAAACCTGGAAATATTAGATGGCCGTTTCTTCTTATTATGCGACTTCTCAGGAGTGCGCATCCACGATCTCTCACGCAGGACTTGAGCCCAGGACCTTCGGTCTTGTATGTGGATGTTTAACCTATTGACCACGGAGCCAGTATCCAACGGTGATATTGTCTAACTTCAATCGATCCATGATCTTGCGCAGCCATTCATTGTCTGACGTAGATACCTGTCTCTACCCGACACAAGTCGTGGATGCGCACTGCTAAGACGTCCTACACTATGACGACACGACCGTCCAGTGCTTCCAGGCTTTCAATGATGATTTAACTTTGATCGACTCATGAATTCAACTATTAAAATCTATATTACACAAAGTGAAATCTTGTCACATTATTGATTGATGAATTATCAGCAATTTAATAGTGACTTTAAAGTTTCGACCCAATTTTTCGTGTAGATGCACTTCAAATTATAATGAGACAGAGCGATCGGCATCAGTTTCCAAATGGTACAAACATCTCTTTTCAACACAGTGTACACCTTGGCTCAACATCAGCCGAGAAACTATCAAAGGCAAGTGATCAATAAGCAGTTATCTGATCAATGTTTTCAGTTTCTTAGAGCTCTGCTCGTAATATTTAGTAAGGGAATTGAAAACTTTCAAGTTTCCCAGCAAAAAAGATATAACTTAATTATTGGTTCAGAATCCAATGTAACCATTATGTTATTTGGTTGGTAGTCTTCCATATGAATTTTCATTAGCTTAAATCTGTTAGTTGAAGATCTTTACTAAACATTTATGACACTAATCTCAAAGTCAATTATCAATAAGCACTGTCCATTATCAGTTTGAAACCGCCGAACTGGAAAGACATCTTTTCATCAAAAACAAAACCAAGAAAATTATAGGTACTTGCATGTAAACATTTTCATTTGGCTAAAAATCTTTGCTGGTGATTTCATATGGATTCTATTACAACACTTAAAATACACTCCATTATTGTCTTCTTTTGTATTGCTGAATACTTCTATTTGTTATCTTTGAGCGCATTTATCATGCTTAATATTATTTAATTTTTATTTCAATAATCAAAAACTTTGCATTTGTTTCTATATGACCATTGTGATAGAATAAGTTTGATGAAATACTAAAAGCTGACGATTATATGATTTTAAATTTCAAAGCAGTTATTCATGATTTATTCCTGAAAGTGTTAAAAATGATCAAATCCATATTTGGTGTTTGAGTAGCAATTATTGTACCACCAAACACTGCCCAACATTATTTTCTTTGATTTAAGAATAGTTGAACACCAATTGTATTTTTAAGAATAAAGATGTTATAATATGTAATGTTAAATCTTGTAAAACGCGTTACATAATCATTTCTAACAATAATATCATCTAATTGCGATTAAATCTTACCTCATTTTCTTTATCATTTAATTTAATTTCATTAGGATTTTCATATGGAATATTCGGTTCCGGTGGACCATCAATTTTATGAATAGTAAACACATGACCATCTTTCATAAGGCTTACTCGTAAATTTGCTCGACCTAAGTAGATTTAAATAGATTAAGTGAGGATTTAATAAAGTGAAATCGATCGATTTTAGTGCAAATTGTTTATTCAAATGGGATTAGAGTTATCGTAGTTTAAATGATGCATTTGTGAAGAACATTTATTTTATTATTCATTGTTCACTTGAATACAGAAACATTGGTAGAAGTAGGCACCAAAATATATATGCGCCACACAATAACCACAAGGTTGTGAAGAAATAGGGAAGAGAGGGTGAATGTGATAAAAGAAGAGTAATAATAAAAGAATTCTCTCAGTTAATGAAATTACTCTCGCTTTTATGAAGAAAGTACAAGAAAGTTACAGCAGTATCGCCATTGGCTTTTATTCTGAGCTATGTCTGATAATGTCTCAACCCACTATTTTGTACCATCTCTACGAACTCAACCAGGGAGTCGTGAAGGACCAACAGGAACCAGTCCTGCATATCACTCACACCTCGACACCATGACTTACATAGACCAACTCTCTTCTTTTTCCAACCGATCTCAATGTCGGAAAATAGTGCAGGATATGGGGCGACATTCGTAAGACATGTTCAAGCCACCGAAATTGGTGTATCATGATGGTGAAACCAATTGAATTATCGTCAATGTGTCGAAACATGCGTAGCCGAGTCTCTGCATTACAAACATGATGTTGCCACTGAATGTTAGCGATCCTTTCAAGACAACGATAATCAAACACAGAGAGTCATCTAACATCCTGAACTCGGAGAGATCAGGTTTCACAAGCATAAGACAAAACCGGTCCAACCAACCTTTTTTAGCTAGGCCAACGTCTAGACGGTTCCGTAAATGTCCCAGATTAGCACAAGCTACTCTAGCTTTTAACCTACCACTGGAACTTATGCAGCCCCTCAGATATATGAACTTCTTGACCACTTCTAACAGTACCCAAAGTGAGTTCAGGTTCCTTGTCTTGCCAGTCTTGTAAAATTACTTTTTAATTGAAAGATGAAAAGCACATGCAATACTTACGGATATCGATCTTCGACGGATTAAGTGCTCATATTTAGTTGCAAGATAAGCTGAAAACAATTTGATGACATCGATCCGTTTAGGAAGATGAATTTGTTGGTCACTGAAGCATAAAATACTAGTAGCGCAGACGAGGATACGATCAGAGTCCAAATACGTACCACAAAGGTAGCGGCAGTTTTGTACTCAATCATTCCAGCGGCAGTTGATTTAAACGTGATCAAACTGAATCCAGATTTAAGATGTAGAGGGAGGACGCCATGCTGTACATTGTCGATAACTGTACCGGTAGTTAGTACACGTCACAAACAGGTTGTAGTCCTCGCACAGTCGCAGTAGACGATCACTGTTATCTAACCTGCCACCAAAAAATCCCTATCAACGACCTAAACAACTCTGTTATGTGCCTAGACGCCGAACCTGAGTATCAAAGTCTCAGGCTAGTGCTACAATATCTGTATAACGCACTTCCTGAAGATTGGTTAAGTGATGGTAGAACTCATCCTTGATCGCATCCAGGCTACAATCTGATGTGACGTATATAGATATGACGAAAAGTCGTTGTTTCTCATATCGAGTCCCTCTCACTTTGGTGGAGATTTCTAGTCTGACAACATATAGATAAGAATCTGATCAGCTCTAATTCTTATAGTGACATCAACGCCGGCAAAACCAGATTTGTCACTGGGTCCCCGGGATAAACGCACATGAAACAAGTTTCTTCGGGCAACAGATGGAGAGCGAATTTGTAGTACTTCACTAGAGCCTTGAATACGGGTCTCAGACAGGCAACAGATACTAATATCAAGACTTTCTAACGATATTGCCAACCCTATCTGTTGTCCGGTCTGTATTAGTATACCAACGTTGAAGGAAGCCTGTTTGAATGAGATGCCTGGTTTCAGAAAGGCTGGTTCAGAATTCGTATTCAGTGGTAGCATTCAACTTTCAACTAGTTAGTGACTTCAGATTGATTTTATAGGACAGGATTTCTACCATAGGTATGATACTGTAGAAGTTAAAAAATAGATGGATATACAAAACGGGAATGAAGGGGTAGATACATGATACTATGTAAAATAAAAACGGCTACTAACACATAGCTGTAAGTATGATTTGCGAGTATGAGAATTAACAAGTGGACATTTTTGCTAGTTGTTGTCAACGTTTGGGTTGTGTGTAGGGTAGGATAATACCCAGGTGCCAAAACAGAAGAATGTGGTTTTCTTAAGAGAGCACTCCCCGAATATTTAACCTAGAGGTCTGATTTACAGTTCAGTGGAGCAACGTTGTGAAATGAGGTCCCATAGTAACAGGTGATTAGCATTAGACTAATACGCCATTTGTTCCCTCAGAATTCTGCAACATTGTTTTGAAATCAGGGTTTTCTAATTCTCTTATGTGGATGTACAGTACCCACCAACCCGGTTAAAACACCGGACATTCACTTTTCGTCATCTCAGTTTCCCAAAAAACATCCACAACGTGAGGGTGTAGTGAGTTAGATTTGCCTGGTAGTGGCTACATACACGTGATTATATGAGACCATTTCGAAAGAGAAACTTGACTCTTCCCACCCTCAGTCGTACGAGGGAAGTAGTTACTGATGATAGACTGCTAAAAACTAATCACTTTCAGTCTCCTGATATATATAAAAACAAAACACAATTTTCCAAGCTCGGAATATCACATGCTGATAAGATCGATAGAAAAATTTAACAACAATTCAATATTACTTTTCAACATAGACTTTTGATTTTAAGTTTTTCTAAACAAACAAAGTGTCGAAAATGGTAGAATTCAACTCTATGAACAATCGTTATTATTATTATTATTATTATTATTATTATTATTATTATTATTATTATTATTATTATTATTATTAGTAGTAGTAGTAGTAGTAGTAGTAGTAGTAGTAGTAGTAGTAGTAGTAGTAGTAGTAGTAGTAGTAGTAGTGGTAAAAGTATCGGTGATTATATGAATGGGATCACAAATGTTTGCATACTCAATAGTTAAGATAATCTAATGTTAGCTTGACTTAGACAATAGAAGCGAATAGAAAAAATGATTTACAGTAAAATTAGAAGTATTGTGTGCACAGTGATGCAGTTTTTATCAGTAACCTTGAAAGGTTTTGCGGTCTGTGAATCTTTGAAATTTTATAAATAACTATCAAATCAAACTATAAAACCAGATTATAGGTTTGGTTACGTAATGCTCTGTTATCCTGAATGTTTCTACGTTATAATATAAATGAAGTTTTATTTATCTAAAAAGTCATTTTGTTACACTGAAATAATCAATAAACAAATAAAAGCACTACAGAAAATTCCATATGAGTATCCCAGTTATAATTATTTATTTAAAGCCTGAAATAATCAATCGATGGCATTAAGCAGACATGCAACTCATTTTCTTACCTGTTGGAATTTCATTTCTCTGTGTTTTAATTGTACCCCCATCAGTTGGGAACATATGAGTAACTTCCCCAGTTATATGTGGTAGCAAGTTGGAAATATCGTAACCGGTAAACTGTAGCCGAAATATATAATAACGAATGACTAAATTTTTATCGGCCATTCAAAAAACAAGATATATTAACTAAATTAACAGCAATCTTTTCCACCTGTTGCTGTTGTTCATTGATGCGTTAGAATTTTTGACATTTTAAATCTTTTAACCAACAACACTCTTTCGAGGTAATCGAGTAGGATTTTCGTTAATTAATGACGGCTTTCTTAAACTCTTGAAGAAAAATAAGCTGTGAACATATAGACAATACTTATTGTGGCAAAACATCTATGGCTTGGTTTCTTCACTCACTCTTGTTTCACAACTCACACACTCAACAATATAAAATACTATAAAAGGTGATAGTTAGGAATGGATTAGGAGGGTACTGAAATTGTTTTTCATTTATACAAAACAGTGCTGTTAACTAACCATACTGCATTATTGTATAAGGGACCCTTCAGCCACATACCAACAATGTCTTAAAGAAAGGAATCGCCAAATATTTGTATTCACTGTGGAGCTTCTAATTTCAGAAACTTCTTGATAATTATGAATTGATATTGCAGATTGATATGCGAAATCTCCCATTTTTAACCAACATTCTTACTGAAGGCGCTCAAAGGGTCTAGTTTATATGACAGCTCACTGTTAGCTCTACTTATCTTTAGTGTTCCAGTTCTCAGTAAGATAATGGGCATTTTCGGCAGACATTTAAATGATGAATTGTTACAGCGTCTGTTGACATAAAGTGCTAAGATATAACCTCTAGTCCAAGAGTTCAGGCTACAGTACGTATTATTCCATCCAAAAAATGTCGCTGAATAATAGTCTAATCTATTTGTTTGTCACCAAGTATAAAATGTATCTAGTTTTGAGGAGTCTGATTTTCTAAAGTTTTAGTCAAGCACTATTTAAATGCTTTAATCCTATAAACTAATCTAAAGACTGGTTTACTTAACTTTTCCACTTGTGGAGTTTTCAACCTTTTATAAACTGAAATAGTTTATGACCAAAGTTGTTCAGAAAGGATCGTGCTTGTCTTTTCGGCCAGGATTATTATCTTTCGAAGTTTAGACTACAAACGCTTACTTCTGCTTTACAGAAGCGCTGAACTCATTCTTTCAGAGGTTACTGACATTTATCACTTTGTGACCGCGGAAAAATTATCAAAATCCGTGAGAAGTCTTAGATATAAACTGTGGCCATATAGATAGCAAAACCTATTAACTGACAAACCACTTAGTATAGACCTTAAAAGTTTTGTGCATCTTGCTTGAAAAGCGGTTTCAGAAAACTAGAAACACTACTACATGTGTGTAAAACTGTAGCGTATTCTGCTAGGATGAAAAGGTTGATAATAGGAACATTAGAAATCAATAAGTCACAAAGAGGCAGAGGATGTTTGGTGAGAAAAACATACGAAAATTTTCTTTGAATTTGTACTGATAGTTACGGAAATGCGAACTTCAATACTATATATATGGAGCAGTGGTTAAAGTTAACATGTGGAAAAGAAAACAATAGTGGTTTGAGTGACTCTGACCATTTTAAAATTATGGTAACAAAAGCAGGATTTTTGAGTTTGCACAAATAACCTATGAATCTAATACATCATACCTAGTGCTTATATTTCTCCTCTACATAACATTTGGTAATAATCGTTACTGAATAAATCATAAATTCTAACATCTCGAATTTTATACCTCCTGTTGAACGTATTACCTGGAAATCGAATAAAATTTTTAACCATTTTAGCTTTGATCTGATAATGAAATATCTAGTATCCAAAACAATGTTTATAAAAACAGACATGTTTTGAAAAGGTTGGACAGCTGATATATGTTCTTATTTTACTGCTGTTCAGTCTGTAAGATTAGATTTCACTTACAGACACGTAAACAAACTATCTCAAGTTTTTTGGATGAAACGCAAATGTTTATTATTAACTATAATTTTGATGTCAATCGTTTTCTACCTAATGTACAGAATGGATATTGCTTTAAATTAACTAACCGGCCAAAATTCATTACTTGTTCTCTTGGTTCCGAGCTGTTGTTGTTGGATCGACTCATCATCTTGATCGTTCTTCTGAACAGGTGACTTGGGATGCGGCGATTTATTGCGCTTACCAGAAGTTTTTCTCTTCTGTGTAGGAGAAATTTCTCTTTCTGTAGACTTTTTGGCTGACCTGACACGTTTAGTTTCTTTTTGACGTTCTTCCAAATCTTTTTTCAATTTAGCCCGTTCCTTGACATAACAGAGTAATGAATACTTTATATGAATTAGTTTGATGCATATGGATACAAATATATATAAACAGCCACTTTGGTGACGAAAAAACAGTTGTATGGTAAAATTTCGAAAAAATAGAAATCACATAGATTTTATTAAAATATGTAACATTTAAGCACTTTAACAATCCATTGGTGTTTTATTTTTGCAATTATCACTAGTTCGAACAGTAACCAAGAAATTTATGTATCTATATTATTTACTGATATCACCATATCTAGACTACTTACTACCCTCTATGAGTGAAACTAATCTGTGAAGTTGAGTAGCTCAGTACATTCTATGAAGGCTAATTATCTTAGTAATTAATTCAACGATTCAGCTTCATTGACTTCTCATTTTGTGAATAGATATCGACAATATGTGATATGGTTAATATATTTCAAACATTTGTTTTTGAGTTTTCAAAATATTTCTCATAATCAAAAGAAACCTGATCCAACATTATGATCTAGCACATATTTTGTAGAAAATGTTAGAATGAACTCACTTGTATCATATGTTAACTAAGAATGCCCACACAAGTTGTTAACAATCTTGCACGAACTTAAAAACAGGAAACTGTCATCTATAACAGCAAAATAATACTTAAAATCAGTACTTCATTCAAAACAAGCTAAGTATTAATTTCTTTTGTCTCAGAGGGCTGAAATAGCTAGAGATATTCAGCCAAACACCTAAACCATTTGATGCTTCGTCATGATATGTTGTACGGCTCGAACACATTCTTTACCCTAATATTTTATTCAACCTATTTCAGATCACTTTAGAAAATAATCCTCATATATTTTTGCTGGTTTTTAATCAGTCAGTCAGTCAGCTACAACGTAGGACCAGGCACATTTATGCATCGGTCCAAGTTGCCATACCTCATTAACACAACAAGATGGACACGGGATTCATAAAAGTAGCTAATTCAGAGGTGGTAATATATAAAAGAAAGATTGCAATAAGGATACAGTACAGCAAGAAAGAATTAGTTCGTAGAAAGGAAGACATGAAGCAATTCTAATCTCGCAGTTTAAGGGAAGACAGAGAGTGTATACACCGACGCCATTGTGATCGATTCCGAGCCATGTCACCAAGAGTTTCCAACCATTGGTTACGATAGTCACGCGGACCCCAATCAAGTAGTCTGCATCTAACAACATGGCTCAGACTAGAAGTTAGTGACTTCAAGCACTGATGCCACGTTTTGGTTTGGCCACCCCTAACTTTCTTCCAACCATCTCCAACACCGGTTAGCATTGCACGACGTGGTAATCGGTGTTCGGGCATACGTAACACGTAGCCCAACCATCTCAGTCGATGAAGATTCACACCCTCATCAACTGATTTACCATCCTTCCCTAATACCTTGCGTCTAACCTCACTATTACTTACCCGGTGATCCCAGCAGACGCCAGCAATATTTCTAAGGCATCTGTGGTAATATTAAGTCATGTAGTGGATTTAGACCTTTTTTTAATTATTCTGTTTTAAAATAGTTGATAAGTAAATAAATATTCCCTTATCATAAATGTATTTTACTATCGTTTACAATGACCTAATTTACTTGACTCTGAAAATATACTGAACCTATACTCATGACATGGCAGACAAACAGAGACTAGTACAGTTCATAAAAGTACATATAAAATGAAATTAACAATACAACTGACGCATTAAAATTGTAAAGAAATCCAACTGATCATTGTGAATAAAAGTAATGAAATAAAATATGGTAAATGAAACAGAAATGAAAATGTCTACCTGATCTCTCTGTGCAGCTTTCAATGATCCAGGTAAAATAAATTCATTTGGATCGCCTAATAATGACTTTATTTCATTTTGTACTATACTTTCTTCTGACTCTGATCCACTGATTGAACGATTACGTTTAGATTTTGCACCTTTTTGAGATTTAGGAGAATTTTTCTTAATTGGTTTTGTAGGAGATTGTTCAGTTGATGAACCATTCTGTACAGATTTATAATTCATTTTACAAAGAAAAACATAAACATAATATGAACTAAATCAATGGTTTTAGAAAAAAAGATATTAAGTAAGTTCAAATTTTGTCATTTGCTTATAACCAGTTTCTTTCCGTTACTAAATATTAGATATTAATTTTTCCATAGAAATATTTATGATATCGTACTGTTTGTAATTTATTCATTAAATTATCCATAATAAAAAATGTATTTCAATCAATAACATACATGTGAGTATATACTAAACTGAATAATGTATAAACTTACAATATCATCAGTTTGTAATATTTCAGCGCTTAATTTAGCTGCTTCATAAATTGCCTCTTGTTCTCTTGTCCAATTTCGAATATGTCCTTCAATCAATTGTAGATATGGTCTAAAACCTATTTTATTCACATGAAACCAACTACACCACGTGTAATGATTTGAACGAATAGTCCGATCAAATGGATGATGTGATATAATAAACAAACTATCATCATACAAACGTTTATAAACATCCAAATAAGGATTTTCATAATTTAATGAATGTAATCTCTAAAATAAATATTCACAAAAAATCTACGAGCAATCATATAATTGAACATAACTGTAGGATAATAAAACAAATTAAGTAATTTAATGAAAATTACTTTTGGATTTTTATATTTCATCACTTATGAATGGAAAAAAAACTTTTCATCAACCGAAATTTCTATAAAATATTGGATTAAATGTTTTGTGGATATAAGTTAGTAACTGTGAAAGCATTTAAAATAGCTAGAAAGTAGTTAATGACACTTTTACTCAGATCTAGTTAGGTGATTATTATCATACACTTATAATCTGACCTCTACGCCCAAAAAGAGAAAGTGTGATAAACACCTTATTACCATGGTAAATTAGTTACAGTGATATAAGTATGTTTATAATAAAAGTTTTTATTTTATTTATTATTTTAAGCATTTCATTGATATCAACTTGTGATCTTAATTTATATAACATCTTTTGGTTGGTAATATAACCACTCATTTGCTAATTTTTGAAGTTCATTTGCTAATCACTATATATGAAATTAACCCCTTCCCTACATGGTTTTATTGTTAACATATCAATAATCATCAGTGTTAACTACGATGTAAAATATTTTGTATCTTCTTTTTATTTTAAAAAGTTTCTATTCTGTTTTAAATTTAGCTTCACTGGCCAAAATGGATAAAAATAGATTTACAACAACACTATTATTATGATCAGCCAACAAGAATCCTCGAAATATAACGAAGTCAGGACGCGCGTTTCGTCTTATTTTGGACTCGTCAACTAGATGTACCCGCATCTCAGAGTTGATGTCCACTCTGGGACTCGAATCCAATACTGTTCGCCTGAAAACTCCGTCGCGTTATCCACTTAGCTACTGAGTCTTGATTGCACAAACAAGTGACTGACGAGTCACAAATAGGAAGAGACGCGCGCCCTGGATTCCACTCCAAGCCACTATCCATCTTTGCCTATAATGCTTGTGAATTAAAGCAATATCGAGCCAATACGCACAGGATGCACATATGACAATGAGAGACTGATCAATTGCAGTTCTAAACGTCAATGGGAAAATTCAAGTAAACAATACCAAGTGAATGTAACGAATTCATTTTGCTTTGTAGATTTTTTTCTTTATGTATATATATTGGATTATTTAGAGTAGATGGAACAGTAATAATTTCATGTACATCAATTAAGTCATGAAATAGAAACTTTTAAATAATGTATGTAAGATTAGAATACCTCTGAATAATATTTAAATCTTGATAGTTTAAACGTGTAGTTAATCTGGACTAATAATAATTCATCTGACTACATCATTCTTTGACTTTCCTTGATAAATATCAACATGTTTATCGATTAAACAAATGTCTAAATGTGAACACTTGATCTAATTACCTATTTGGTAATACAAGAAGTGACAAGGATTCATTTATTTGATTATAAGTACATAATTACTGTTAAAACAGATATTTCACCTGAATATTCAGCTAATTCTAATTTCACTATTGCACTAATAAATTTAAACCAGAAATACTTTTGAATTATGCTAGTATTGATACCAAACAACAATTACTTGTATGTATGTTAAGACGTTATTGTTATTTCAATGTATTTTAAATACGAAAAACAGTATCTGGTAGCATTTATTGTTCAGATTAATAAAGTTTGTCGTAACTATAATTTAGGGGCAAACCAATCAGATATAAGCTAACAGGACTTAAATTTTGGCGCGAAATTCATTCATCCACTTGGTGTAATAGCGTTTTGGGACTTTAGCTGATGTCAATTTATGATGAAAACCCTAAATCTAATTCCTAACCCTAACTATCAACTGGAAATTATAATTCTAATTCCTTACACTGATTTTTAACCCGCATTTAGTCATAGTCAGTAGGTGGACATTCTTGGGGTCACTTTGCATCTCTCATAGGTCGTCTATAAGTTATTGTCGCCCTAGTTTGTTTTATCTTGCTTGAAGCCAATATTTTTACCTTGCCTTTTGACGTACTTCTTGCCAGTCCAATTGCTTTTTGATTACCTACGCGGTTGTTACATTGCTTACATTTGTTGCCAGTGTCACTGTACCGAAAATGATTAATATTTGGATCACATTTGCAATCTTAAAGCCAGAAAATGTGGTCGATGATGTTGTCATTGAGTTATTCAGCAGTTATCTTATGAAATGATGAAAGTTGGAAATGTAAACCATTTTGTTCTGATTCTGTAGTCTCAAATTTAGGCGTCTTCAGCGAGGACAAGCAGAAGGCTTTGGATTCGACCTCTCGTGGGGCCGTGGATGGGGACTGTTGAGTGGATCTAATCTACGACGAAACATATATGTCGAGCGTCCTCATTTCCAACGCTTTTCCGTGAAGTAAAAATACAAGTATCAGATAATTACTTGTAATTAGTGGATCGACCATAATATTGTGTAACTGAATGAAAATATAATTGATCCAAGTCATCAAATACATTTTAAAGTGCTTTGTTTTCTCTGCTTAATCCTGATGCTGAAACTCAGTTGAAATGTTTAAATTAATAATTTATACATGACATCGTGTTGATTACTTTAAAGAGCAACAGACTAATGTAATTAGTACGATTTTCATATAAACCACAAACCTAAAACAAGGGGTACACTTCACTAATTATTCTAAAATTGGTTTTAAAACGAATTCTTGATTGATAGAATAATGTAGCATTTTACCTGTAATAATACATTCGGTTCTAATTTCTCCTCCACTGACCACTCATTTAGATGGATATTTTTAGCCTTATTTAGAAGTGTACCGAAATTCTCCAGTGATACTTTATACGCTTCAAACGGGTATTCAGAGCTATTTTTATTTTTTTCTTTATCAAATGAAACCAGTATCTGATTGTTTATATGAAGTTGTTTTAATATTTCTTGTAATTCTTGAGCAAATAAAGTTAATCGACTAAATTTGCTTTTTTGATCTTTAATTTCATGAGTGATGCTTTTACTAGGTACATCAAAATGAACTGCCGATAAACTTCGTCTACTACTGACTGATTTAGATCTAGATGCAGATTCTATTGAAGTTGGAGTAGTATGGGATCCAGTACCTATAAAAAATCAGTCAGATAAGTAAATTGATATTTATTTGTCGTTTATAGTTTTTGACTTTATAATATTAAACAGATATAGCATTAAAAAGTATGTCAAAAATAAGAGGGACCTTAAGAAATAAATCTTTTTCAATGTAAATCTTGCTAGATAATTTCAAGCTAATCGCTTTCCAGTCAGCCGGTTTTTGCGAAAAGCTGAAATACAATATTTTTTGTGTAAGATGCCAAGTTATATCTGTCTGGAAAGCTTAATCAATATGGGGCCTAAATAATACGCTCTGAGTTGAAGGTGAAGATATGTTAGTTGAATTAACATATTCAGTCTACAGTGATAAAATACTATTTGAACAAAACGTGACGATTACTTAAAATCCCGTAATTGAGACGAAGCTGACTCTTAAAATTTACTGATTTTTAGAGCTTCCAAAAAAGAAAATCTTTACTCATTCATAATTAATGTCAGTATTGGGTTGTGGAGATTGTTAAATTTTTTATTGAGATCATGATGTTAGACCATCATTGAAAACCTGGAATCACTGGACGGCCGTTTTGTCCTCTTATGGGACCTCTCGGCAGTGCACATCTACGATCCCGCTGGTGGGATTCGAACCCGTGCTCTTCGGTCTCGCGCGCGAACACTTAACATCTAGACCACTTAGCTGGCCAGTATCCAACGGTGTTAATGTCTAACTTCAACCAATCACAAATTCTTCGAACAACTGACGAGAATTCACGAAGTATAATAAATCCATATTGTTCTGCCTCAATCATTATCATATAGATTTGTTTTATTTTTCTACCCTGCTATTTGTGACCGATTTTCTTTATAACTCCATAGTATAAACTAAGTCATTGAACTATATATTGTCTAATGGATTAAATCAAACACTTCAAAAACCATAATCATTAAAAATATTACAAGTACTGTGAAAAGAACACATACCACTCTTCTGAATGCGTGTCAAAAATTAACAAAATAGCTAGTTAAAAAAACTTAAGGCTTAATATACTTTTAAACAGCATTTATTTTCACTATATATTCCCCATAGCTTTAACTATCAGGACTCAATGGCTAAATAGATAACAAGCGGCGTATAAAGCAAACTGTACTAGGTTCAAGCCTCGGGATGAACATCAACTCTGGGGTGTAGGTAGATCCAGTTGAAGAGTCCCAAATGATACAAAACGTGCATCTTGAATTCCACTACTAGCCACCAATCATTTTTAACATAGATATTAGTTTTAAAATTAATAACTAGACAAATAGCTATCGTCTATCTTTAATTATTCAGTTATTTTTTATTATCAAGTTCAAATAATACATTCTTATCTGTGTTTTTTTCTTAATTGATCATCAGTGTTGTTAATAGTAAGAATGATATATTTATTGTTATAAAGACTTACATCATAGATATAATATAATATATCATCGAAAATAAAAGTTATTAAATGATAGATTACTTTATCCCAGTTGATATAAAACATATTAAATTATATGTATATAGTTAATTATTTACATAATAATTCTAATATTACTTGGCTATTCAAAACAATATGTTATAATATATCAATGCCATTTGTAAAGTTCATTTGGTCAAGAAAGTTTTAAGTAAACATTTTATTCATTTTCCTTGTAAACAATTTTCTTTTTCAAAATACATATTCTATTTACATTAAAATAGAAACATTTAGTTTAATCTTAATTCACTTATTTTTCATCGAACTTTCTGGATATTTTTTTGTTAATACATAATTTGAATAAAATAAATTTGATTGACTTTAAGTAAATATAATTATTTTCAGTATACTTAAACAATATTTATGGGCGACACTCTACTTTATAAACGAGCCAATCAGAAGCGTTTAAGGGATTTCAAGGTCACAGCGCAAATTTCAGTACCTGATACTCACGTACGATTGGTTTATAGCGGATTTTAGGGAAGACGGGATTATTGTGCGTCTTCAACAAATCGGACTACTAAGAAATTCCTTTCTTTGTGACTGTGGTAATCAAATTATTGCAGTACCGTGTTCAGACTATCGTGATGACATTGTCTTTTGATGTTCTTTATGTTGGAGAAAGAAGTCTGCTCGACCGGGTACTTTCTTCGCTCGATCGCGATTGAGACTGAGACAAATCATGATAATTGTCGCAAATTGGATAATAAAAGCACCAGTAACACTGGCTGCAGCGTTTGCAGACGTTAGTGAGACTTCGGCTGCCCAATGGTATGAGTATTGCAGGGATATATGTGCAATTAAAATGACGTTTACATGAGTCGTTCAGAGGAATTGGGAGTCTTGGTGAAATAGATGAAACAGTAGTATGGAAGCAAAAACATAAAAGAGGACGTAATATTAAGGAAGACTGGGTAAGTATCACTTCCGTAAATATGCCTCACAGGTACTTGGAATTTATGTCACATCAACACAAAAGGGACAAATTCAAAGTACTAGAAACCGGCAAGCAACCACAATAATACTAATTATACAGGAATAAGTGCGGCCGAGCACTACGATATATAGATATCTACATAGACTTGGGCATGTGCATCATGTTGTTGTGCACAAGCGCCATTTTGTCGACCCTATAACTGGAGTTTACCCTAATAATATTGAGGCTATGTGGTCCAGGCTACATGAGTTTTTAAGACTCTATCACGGCTCCAGAGGTCGACTATTATGGAGCCATATGGATGAGTTCCTATATCGTATGCACTACGATTTCAAAGCCTCTGAACCTCTTTCAAACCTTAATAAAATTTTGAACCATGTAAAAGAAGAATATCCACTTTAATTCTTTAGTTTTTTACAATATATTTTTACTTCATATTAATTGTCTTCTGATTGGCTACTACTTCCTAAGGTCACTTAAGATTCGTTCAAAGGTCGTCCATAAGTTAGAGTCTCACTCAAATAACCAATTGAAAGATCATAAAAATTAACTTGATATGATTTTACACAATTAAAATGAAAGTATTTTAAGCCAAGATGGACTTTAGGCTATATCGAGGCAATCCGCACAGGATGCACATAATACCAACATGAGGCTGATCAATTTTAGTCCTAAATAACAATGGGAAAATATAAGTAAAAATAACACCAAATGAATTTAAAATGAAAGTATTATGTATTATAATTCCTTATCAATCTACTTATTATTTATATGAAATTCCTTAAATGATATAGTTTAATCATTATTTAGAATGAATACATGAACTTCTACTTTTAAACGGGATATTTAGTTTGCTTTAAATTTATATCATATTTTGAACAGTTTCTACTTTAATAGAATCAAATATTTAACGACTATTCTGTGGGTAAATTTTACCTTTTTGACTTGTTTGTGTACTTTGTCTGGTTGATAATGATGACTTTCGGTTTACAGATGATTCTGATGATAATGATCGGCTACGTTGTTGTGCAGATAATAATGATGATGATGAATGATTTGATAAAGAATTATAAATTGAATTATGTTGATGTTTCTCACTGGTTATTTCATTTTCAAGAGAAAATTTCCGCATTTTATTTATTTCATATTCAATTTGAGTAAATAAAACTGATAAACTTTCATATAACAAGTATGGATCATCGAATGGTATCGCTGTGTTTTTAAGCTGATTATTATCTTTGTTAATATCATCAAGTAATTGATCCATTGTTGGATTGATGTGATTTTTCGGTAATGTCTCCCAAGCGGAATCTAATGGTTGAATCATATTTAAAGATTGTTGGAACTGTTTCCTTGTTGAATAAGCTTTCCATATCTGTAAACTTTCTAGTTGAAGTTTACTAAAGTAATGCTTAAACTCTGTAACGAAAAATGTAATTTGGATTTTATATCGTAGTCACTATAATAGTGGTAACTTATGCTACAATGGTTGATTAGAACAAAATAACACACAGATTCATCCCATTGTATACTTTAGGCTGAAAGGTACATTATGATCAAAACATTTAGAGTTGAACGGTGGAAACTACTGTTAACGGTAGTATTTGTCGAATGAAATAATTTTTGACTTATAGTACCCAGAATTTTAATTTTTTTAGACAATTGGTTGATACACAGCTGAAACTTGAACCTTGGTTAGTAATTTAAATATTCAAGAATATAGACTTAGTCTTATACATTCAAAAAGTTCACCTTAACATCTAGCCACTAACACTCCAATATAAATCACCATCTATTCAGAAATTTTCATCCTCATAAAAGTTTTCAATAAACCGGCTGAAATGATGATTGAGGCTTATATACCTTGATTTTCGTGTTTCTGTATTCAGTTGTTCTAGATGTCTAAACGATCAATAAAGTACCTTAAAATATTTTCACAGTTGAATTCACTAGTCAATCTAAGCTAGACCACGTGCAGGATTTTGGATGAGCACTGCTGTGGAGTCCCGTTCTAGAACGAAACGGCCGTTTAGTGCTTTCAGGTTTTCAGGGATGATCTAGTTTAGATCAACTTGTGAATTCAATTGTGAAAATACTACAATCTTCATAAATCGCTATATTGATAACTTGAAATATTTAACAACCCTAATGTAATTTAGCGATTGTAACGACTTGAAACAAGACTGATTTGTAATGATCGTGATTTGAGCTAAAAACGAATTCCTGCTACCGATACAGCTGTTATCCATAATTGCAACATATTCCTACCTTTTACTTTTTGGAATGCAATAAAATCGCTTTATCGATGTGGAAAACAAAATACTGTCAAACAAGACTGGTTTATTCGCCAACCATTAATTAAACGATATTTAGAATGATAATAATACTAACATTTTCAAAATCCGGAAATGTTTTCATAGATGAGGTTTTAGAATCATTTTACAATAACAAATGACCTGGATTACTCACAAAACAGATTCTGTAACGTCGAAATAAAATTCTAATTCCCGATACGTCGATAAGATAGATGAAGCCAAAAAAACAATATCTGTAATTGTAGCACAGTATAGCTTCGGATAATCATTCTTAGACCGAATACATTTGAAAAATGATTATCATATTGCTTTATAAAAATTATCTGTCTTAACTTACCTTTCCATCAATTAAAATATTGTGTTGACTGGCACTTTAGATAAAAAGTATATTTTTATTATTCCCAAGTGAAATAACATCAAATTTATGAGTTATTAGTTTCTAATTCAAGCCTAAGAATACAATTTCCGGACTGTAATTATTCGTAAATACCATGCTAAAATTTAGTATTCCATTTTTGTACTCAAGTAATTCCCTAATAAATAAGCTTTGTTAATGTCTGTAAGGATTAAAAGAAAACCAAAATGTCTACATTGTACACTTATTTACCTTCTGGTGTAAATCCAAACTTTTCAGCAAACTGCATAATTTGATGAAATCTCAATTCTTTCATTCGCTTATAACTTTCTTCGAGTATTTCATTTCCAATTTTCTCTTTATTACTTTTATCAAGCTTTAATTCTGGTGTCCATTCAAATTTTGTATTTTCTTTACAAGTATTATTAAATATACTTGGAAAAAATTGACTGTATAAATTCAATTCAGAATTCATTAACTCTTCATTATTTTGATTATTATGTGCTGTAAACAATGTTTTATATCGATTTTCATCATATGGATGAAGTATAATAATTGGTGAAGTATTCAAAGAGGATTTACCTGATTTTTTGTGTAATGACATTTCTTCACTTAATTCCTATGTTAATTCCAAAATGATCAAATTTAAATATTCAAGTTGATAAAATAAATCATTTTAAAATTATAACATCGTAATGATAATTTAATTGTCTTTCTGTATTAACGTGTTTGTAGTTATCTGATCACAATTACTAGAGTTACTTATAATTTAAAGATACTTTACAAGAAAGAATTAGTTTTGACAAAGTATTATAATATTGTACCGTATATTGATTCAAAATAAAACATTTTCAAAGTAATAATAGGCCATTGTGAAATTCTTAATTAAACTGTCAACACAAATATGTTATGCGATAAAAGTTTTTGTCAACCATTTCCAATAACACGTGATATATAAGTATCTATTTGGAAAAATATCCATCTGTAATGATAAATTTAAGCTCACGAATACCGAGACAGTGTTTCCTATAAAAAAGACTATTTGCTATTTGACCAGTAGTAATTCTATTCTATAAGCTAGCTGTGGATATTTTGTTATTTTTAAGAAGTCATGTGAACAATATGTAATTCATTTACAAAATTCAATAATTCACCCGTAAAGAAAGGTATTAACTAAGAATAATAGTGCTATTAAAAAGTTACAATAGACCTCTGTCTGGAAATGTTGTGGTGACTGTGAATCAACTTGTTTTTCGAATTCAAAATATCACAAAATGTAAATTATAATTCTATCGCAATTTATTTTCAAATTTCTAGATTAGCACTTAATCGAAATGCAGTCGAATTTTACATGAATCAGTAGTTTTTTATATTACCTACATAGGTTTAAGTAATATTGTTTTCCTGTATAAATCTTTTTTGGTAGACTAACAAACATAAAACTAGAGATTACGAACGTATAGAAAAATTGAGTTTTCACGGTGTTGCTACAACTAAAAATGAAACACACAGAAAATAACTCCAGTAAAATTATTAAGTAAAACTAAATTAGTCAAGAGTCGATTGTCTAAGCATGAAAGCTCAATTTGTTTACTTCAAAGTTATATGTTATGAGGTATAACATTTTCCTAGGGTCATATTGTTTATAAACTGGCGACCTCGATCATTTAGTTCATACATTTCAAGGACATCAATTAAAATCCATGAACATCCTAGTTCAATGTTTGACTTCAATCAAGAGATTTCAGCTGTTTTGTGTTACGTCATTATAGCCCGTTAACTATCATGTGATATGATCTCCAATTAGAACACCAACTTAATGAACAGGCCCATAACGCACAAACCAGTGCAAGCAGTCCATAGTCAATTCTGAGTTCTTATTGTTCCGCCGAGATAGTAGCTTCTTGCCTAACCCAGCCAGTTTAGTCCAGAACACCAATATCGGCCTCCGTTATACGAATCATATATTTTAAACATACTGTGTTTATTTACAAACAAACCAGACCGCATCATATCATAAAATAAAAAAATAACAATTCTATAAAATCAGGCCGAGAAGTAGCTATGACTGTGAAGCACTGTAACTAATAAGTTAGGAAGAACTTAAGGATAGTAAGTCGTATAGTAGTAGTTAATAGGTCAAATGGAATCATATAACATGCGGAATATGAGCATACACACAACATAGTTGCTTAATAGTTCTAAAATAAGAATGTATATAATGATAGTCCACAAACAGATTCTAGTGGTTACTATTCCCCTGTTCTTTGGTTAGATATAAAACGTACAAGCCTTTTAACTGAATTAAACTGCATAATGTAGTATGTCGTTTTCATGGTTTAATTAATCTTTAATTTGACTGGCCATCTTGATAAAGGTGGAGTAAAGTTGAGAGAAATGTAAGGCTAATTAGGTGAAAACATTTACTCGATAAATTCTATACCAATTCCAACATATTAGAAACTAAGTAGAACATGTAAGTGGGTTGGTTGGGTTTTAGAAATGTAAAATGACCATAAAGATTGAATACCATCACTTAAGCATTTTAATAAAATTCACGTTATTTTAATAAACTTATTAAGTAAAAAAATAAGTTTATCTAATTATTTTACTCTCATTACGTCAATAGGTGTAGCAACGTGAATTGACTAGCTATTCTTTTTCCTTCCAATATCATTTTAATCACTTCGTCAATCATATCAATTCACTATTATAGTCTCTGTAAAATACCATGGCAATTAGCATCTACAATCGAAAACAATTTTCTTGGGTGGAAACTATTATATTTGGTCATCTATATTCCAATCTATAGAAATGTCTGTTCATATTTCTATATACTTTTCTCATGTAAATCTTTATGAAAAACTACTACTTTTATGCACATTACAATTTAACTACGATTTAACATCATCCCTTAAAATTTGCATTATATTTCTCTTAATTGTTCAAATTTTGACAAAAGATAAGCAGTTCAAAACTATAATAAAATTCAACTAGAAACGAAAAACTTGACTGGTAATGAAAATTCTCTTCTAAATGAACACATTCAGAGCTCATCGTCGTGCAAATTAATGACTGACAATTGTTAGTGAAACTTAAACTATAACAAAATATCAGTTTAATATAAAATGGTTTAAAGTCACTTCTATGATCACTGTCTGTTCGCAATGAAAACTAGCTTTCTGATAAACAAATCTTCACAAACCAATCAACTAAGCCAATTGTTTTACGTTATATTCTGTCTTTGTTTAATTCTATTTATTTTGCTATAGACTGGGCCACTTCTATGACATAGTTCTATGGGTTTTGTTGTTTTATTGTAACATTTTTATTCCTTTCAATCAAATCCGTTTTTAAAATATCAATTTTAGCTCCTATTTCCAGGTCATTTTGATTTTCAGACTTTTTCAGGCTTTCTACAGTTTAGCAATATGTTTTAATGTGTTACCTAACTTTTCATAACGACCACAAGAATAAAACAAATGACACCCTTGAAAAAAGTATTTATAAACGTCTTATTACACTTGACATGTTGCTATATTAACCAAGATTTTTTCATTATTGTGTGGGATGATGTTTTGGAAATAGTTATTCTCGATTTAGAATAGATGGACTGTATTTAGCAGTAGAACTTGAGAAGCGCGTTTCATCATGATTGGGACCTGTCAGAAAGAGGTACCCATATTCCAGTATTGGTGCTCATACTGAGACCCGAACCCAGTACATATTACTTCGAACGTCAACGCGTCATCATACTCAGTGAGTATGGGATTTATTATTCAGATACTTATAATCCAGATACATTCACACTATGATATCTCTAATATAAAAAAACACACGTCCTGAATTTCACTGCTAGCCAAAATCCATTCATTTAAAATAACTTGTGATGGACTTATCAAGTCATCAGGCAAAGGACTCATATATACCAACAAAGGCCGGTCAAAACTCAGTCCTAAATATTAATATCAAGACATCTCAAACCCTTAATGCTAATAGCGTAAATTATTCTATCGTGGATACGTACTACTAAGGAGTTCCACAACAGGACAAAACGGCCACCCAGTGCTTCCAGATTTTTCATGGTGGTCTAGCTTCAATTAACTCATGATCTCAACTATTAAAATTATTCTATGATAATAGTCAGTGTTCATCAGATTCAACAAAGTTGAAATTAATTTTTAAATGAATAAAACCCATTTTTAAGGTATCAAAATCAAGTTATTTAACAATTTTTAAAGTATAACAAGTAAATTTTAAAGAATTAAAAGTAATTTGTTTAAATTAAAATGGCTATGATTTTCTTCACTTTTTCTTCGAAGTAATCAATAAAATTTTGTTCAATGTATAATTTGTGTTTTTATTGTATATTATTAAATTAGAAAACATCATACCCTTCAGTTTGTTCACTATGTTGTCTACTATGAAAATAATTTTGGCAATAAATGTATATTCTTCTAATAATTTCACTGGTTGAAATCATGAGTCAATTGAAGCTAGACCACCATGGAAAACGTAGAAGCAGTGGACGGCCGTTTCGTCTTAGCATGGGACTCCTCAGAAGTGCGCAACCACGACCCCGCCCCCCGCGAGATTCGAACGCAGGATCTATCAGTCTCGCGCCAGGCGCTTAACTAACTAGACCACTGAGCCGGCATCCAACGGTGTTAATGTCTAACTAGGACGAAACGGCCGTCCAGTGCTTCCAGGTTTTCCATGGTGGTCTAGCTTCAATTGACTCATGATTTAAACCAGTGAAATTGCTAAAAATCTCCACGAAACCCATTCTTCTAATAATTGTTAATAATTAATTTGTATAGTGATATGAACTCGTAAAGATAAATATCTATCTTGATTAGAAGTACTTTATTAAAATAGTTGCTACAGATCATTTTTATTACTAGAAATGAACCCATTACAAAGTTATCCAGTATTATTTAAACATTACTGTTGAGCTTTAAATAATAAGTTAAGTAAAATATAGTGTTTAATTAAAACACATTTAATACGTTCAGTGATCTGTAATTATGGTATAATATGAAATAATTAGTTGTGAATTCATTTCCTTGATGACAGTTTGGCGAAAATTTCTAAAGATGCTACAAAACTTGAAGAAAAGGTTTGTGTAGTTTTCAAATTTTGTTTGACTTTTTTATAAAATGGAGTGTATTTTCTTTACATATTGTAGAATTTTGATGAAAAAACATTCATTTACTTTGTAAGGTAGTTGGGAGTTATCGGTAAGAGACCTTATGCCTAGTTTTTGTGCATTATAGTACTAGCTAGCACAGTGTACCTGTAGTCTTGAGAAAACTAACAAATTCAATCACGTGTCACTCAAACTGATTGCCACATTAAAATTTGATTAGCAGAATTCGATCAGTACTATGAAAGAGTTGAAAAAAATAACATTATCCACCACTTGATGATAAATCGATTGTAAATCCACTCAATTTTCATCGAATAAAGTTAGTTTCTAGAATTAGTATTGTCTTATCATATCGTGAAGTCAATATTTGTGATTACATAAATAAATGTATGTTGCTGGACGACATAAATTAGTAATGTGATTTCATTAACAGTAAGTAATCAATATGGTAGTGTAGAAAAATTTACGCTGACGTAAAATTTCATTTTTATCGTTAATAAATTAACAGAGAGAAGTGGAATAATGATAGTTTATGATATTAGTTCACTAAATAACTCATCATACAAATTAATAATACAGTTTTATGTTAAGTTATGCGACCAAGGCGACTAATTTATAGATATCGCTTAAGAGCATACGATTAGGAATAAGAAATTTACATCTATAGCTTTACTGGAATGTATTAAATGAACGATGATGACATTTACACATTTCAATGCATTTTTAGTGAATATTTTTTGTAGGCTATTATTATAAAATATTAATTGCTTTAATTCAGAAAGAACAATATATCTCCGACAGAACCTAATATCTCACAAGATCATTGGAGTACTGTAAGAGTACCACGCACATACACAAACATAACATTGGGCGTCGCGTTGTCAATTTCAATCTACACAATACTCATAATCGCGGGTTCGAGATGTTGTATAACATGGTGGAAAACAAGTTTCATTTACACAATTATATTCATACTCACAAGTTAAACAATATTCTGGAAGTCTTATATGTTTAGCCCATTTGATTCTTTCAAACTGTACTTTTCACTTTTAAACATTCATTGCTTTCGATATTGTTTCCCATCCTATGTTTCTCAGATTATTGATCCCCTTTGACCTCAGTGACGTGAGATGTAACAACTATGACTGAGGAACACTCATTTCAGGAACTTTGTTTATGGTGACTGACTATTTGTCAAAATGAATAACTCAAAGTCATACCTTAAATAAAACTAACATCTCAAAATGAATAATTGGATGATTTTTAAACACAATCTCGTTTGATAATAACCTTGACAACTCTTAAAATAAACCACCTTACAAAATTTTGGTTTTTAGTTTAAAGTTAAAGAATCAAGTATCGAACTGTTTGTCTATGTAATGACTAAAAGAAAATCATTGACTTACAGCTCTCTCTTCTTCAGTTAAGAACAGTTTATCTACTTCATTTGCAATATTTCTAGAAATATGGGGATCATATCCCTCATTTTTTGCTTTCTCATCAATTAATGCCGCCTGTGGTAAAATCTCATTTTCATTAGCAATAACCTATTAAAAGTTAATAAAATAATAAAGTTCGTTGGTTATAGGTAAAATAACATAATAACTTCATTACAGCCACATATCTAATTTTCTAAAAAGCGATCATTACAATATAAAAGTAATATATTTTTAATATCCTAATGAGTAGAGAAATTAGATTTTCTAACATTTCGTGAGTCGGTGTTAGGCACTTCTTCAGACGATAAATTAAATAAACAAATTAAATTAACCCAAGCTCAAATAGTTCAAAGGAACAAAGCACAAAATATTTAGTACAGTAAGTCAAAAACAGATCTGGCCAATTGAATGTTATGTCACTCCGATCAAGATTATTTTTATGAGAAATGCTTGCATATATGTTTGTGTTGTTAATTTCTCTACACATTGGACATTACAAATGCATTATTTTTATAACTTAAAAAACTACCGAATACTCGGTTTACTAAAAGTCATCAAATCAAACTTTGGTAATGGTATATATAAACTCATTGGTAATTGAATTCAATCACGCAAGTGTAAATGCAATCGGCATAATAAACACTATTTACAAGACAACATCATCCCCAGGTCTCTGTTTGTTAAACAACCAGAATGTTACTGATGATCTCTTGAGGCTTCTTAACGCACAATATTTTTACAAGAACGTATTCATAAATGCACAAATTTACAAGAAGAATACCGTGAATGCATCAAAAATCCGGGTGATCTGATAAAAATACCCCGACAGGTTCTGGAACATACTTTTCGATGTCCGACTACAGTTGTATTCCTTAACCTTAAGCTGGCGCCCAACTCCGTTTACCGTGAGGTTCTGTGGCAATCTGTCAATGAAACGTCTACCAAAGAAACACGTTAACCTTATATACGCTCTCTTTACTCGAATACTAATGGTTAAATAAGAGTTAATAACGATCAGCCATCGGAATTAATGTCTTGAAGTAGTACTCGTCAGGGTTTTCCGTTTTCCCCATTTTTGTTTAACTTCGTCATACATATGTTTTCAGAGATAACACTTTCATCGTCTGACTTTTCACAGGTTGATGTTCTGCAAGTAGATTCACTGAATGACTTGGAATACACAGATGATATAGATGTGTTTGGTGAAGACGCTGGCAAAATGTAGACTTCTAACTACGTTAGGCAACAATGGAATCATGTTTGAAAAATGGCAACTTTAGGAGATGTACATACAAACAAGATTGAACGCTATGACCGAGTGAATGACTTGTAAAAGTTGGCAGAAAGAAAATGAATTCCCTTTGAGCTGTGCCCTGGAGTACGAAAATAAGAACCGATATCAAAATTAACTAACCCTCTTAGTCATATGCAGTTGACTAAGCGTAGTCAGAAAATGTTTTTATAAGGCCTACCTGTTCTAATACGGCATGAAGTATTAGCTCAACGCTAGTACTTTCGATTGGCAAACCTTGGAGTATTTCATTATAAAACCTCATATCAACGAAGTCTTCTGCTAAAATATCACCACAATCTTCAGATTTTATTGCAGGTTTATCCAAATTATCTGGATGTAAACCGATTGCTGGTTTAGACTTTTTCAACAGTTGGTTGCTACTTACGGAATCATTTTCATTCAATAAAGGAGGGCATATAGGTAAATGAATGACTTTTATATGTTCTAAATAATTTTTCCATTGGCGTCTAAAGTCTATCAGATCATACAGAATAGTAGATATTTCATTGAACATCGTGGCTCCAAAAGATGCCTAGAAAGGTGGAAATAAATAAAGCATTATGTCAAGAGTTACACAAAATGCCTCAAAATAAAGTGATATTTGAGAAGTTCCACTATAAATATATAATTATTGGATAAGCATTAGGAACTGAAATAGCCTACCTACACCAGCCATTCGTTATCATCGAATTTTTAACTTAACTACTAAACTCTGAACCTAACAACAGATTGATATGGTTTTTCATTTCTGTTTGACATTTTTTTAACGCCAACGAAGTTTAGTTTGTGGATTTTAATGAAGCCTCAGTTTCTAATCAGATGTTGGTATGATTTATTTGGTAATAGGTTAATAAAGATTTCAGTGTTAATGGACCAGTATTTTACTCCTGGTACAAATAATCTTATTAAAGTTATTTTCCAAAGTTCTGTGTGGTATGTGTAGGAAGACAAAATTTGAAGGATTTAAACTCGTGAGATGAATATTATCCGAAGCAGGTTAATTTGCACCTTTACCATCATACAATGGTGAATAGGGCAAATTTTTTAGTATTAGTTTGTTTACAGTTCACGAAGTAAAATAATAACGATGAGAATTCATGTTAAACTTCAGTTTAAGCGTGTTACTTGTTCCGAAAATTGATACTATTGACTGTGTCTCTTTTTTTCGATCCAGATTTGTGAATGATGGTGTAACTAAATGTCGATACATGTATTCAGCTAATGACAGGTTAGTATTGATAAATGACTACTCAGACTTTGTAGGTGAAGTGTGGTTTGAACCTGAAACCTATTAGTAAGCACTTAATTACATCCATAAATATGCCACCTGTACAAGAAATTGTTGAAGGCAAGTGACCAGAAGTCTGTAACTATAACTTTTTCTGATTAGCATCTATCAACAAGATATATCCGTAATCCTTAAGTGTGTAACATTCCACTAATTATCCAAATAAACAAAACTATGTGCTGAGAGAATTAGAGCTATTACAGGGTTATTTTGCGCCCAGACTTGAACTTGCAATAAAGTGTGAATTCCTCCAAAGTAGTAGATATGTAATGGTGTCGAGTCAGAGCATGAAAGGAACCTAACTCCATTCTATAAGCTTAAAGAATGGATTAAATTATATAAACTACTTATGAGTAGCAACTGTTTTAAAAATATAAACAATGGCTTTAAATATAAGGTTCTTTTTGTTAGTTTTTCTGTTAATCAGTGAATAGAAATACAACTGAAGTGAACGAACACTCGGATGTGGAAGAGCAAATTATTTTTTAATACAAAATTACAGAGTGTCTTCGCAAAATATAAAAACCATACATTAACTACTTCATTTACACATCTTCCACCAGTTGTCTCTTAGAAACTTCATTACTCCTTCATTCCTGTTGTTATCTTGATTGTTTCCAGTTTTCTTCTGTATTCTCTTCATTTCAGTCTTCTCGGTCTTCTGCTCGCAAACATTACCTCCCGATCGGTGCTACATACTACTTATATCTGTCGAAATAAGTAGCATACGCCACACGATAAAATAAGTTGTTACTTTCAAGTTTAAGTTAAAATCTGGTTTACAGGAAGTCAAATTTATCCTTGAGATACTTTTATTCTCCAGAGCTGATTTTTTACATCTTGTCTTCAGAGCAGCTATTAAAACGTGAAAGGAGAACGCACTTCGTGAGCATGAATAGTCATGACTTTATCCATACTAGATGAAAAGCAGTGATTGACTTATTCTACTTTTATTCTTGGTTGGTCTCCTGTTTAGATGTAAACTGTTTTCTCTACACACACATATCCCCATTAGTTTCGTCTTGACTTGTATATTCAAGTTTGTATTAGTTGGTTAACCATTATCGTTTGTCTTTGGATTTCACCACATTAATGTCACTTTTACGGATGAGTGGAATATTTAGGAGGTATAGGTCGACATGAATTATTTTATGAAGCTTCATCAAAAATAAATCCTGGACTTTGATTGATAACCCAAAAACTTTCGTTGTTTTTAAAAAAATTGAGGTTAAAAATACATCTATTACTCAAGTAATATATGTCTATCATTTCACTAAACTGTTTTCGATACCTTCATTTCACTTTTCAAACATTTTTCATATTTTCTTCAGCTAGTAGCCATTAGGTACAATTTAACCCCAAAGTAAATCCCTTTAGATTATCTGCTCGTGTCAAATTACCTTCGAATTATTTTATTTGGTATGCAGATATTTATTGAGAACCTTCATTTCATCATTACAACACTTTATGAAAATTGTAAAACATTTGAATTTCACACTCGGACGATATAAAGAAGGCTAGAATCTGACACACTGCAACTTTCTTTAAATAAAGATGACTTTTGTTTCGTGCCAGAACTGAAGTTCTGATTAATACCTGATTCAGTTTTTGACTAACTGTTTAAAAGTCTTTCTTAGATGGATAGTACCCAACAGGAATAAAGAAAACTTATTTTCTGCTTAACAAATTATGAATATTTATGGTAAGTAGAAAAACAGTAGAGTACGTTTGACGCATTCACCCTTGGAAAGTTGGAAAACTAACCCTGTTTTCCGCCCCATTAAGGTCATCAGGAAGTAATTCTGTTTTGACATTATAATCTAACGTAGCAATATTTCCTAAACGATCATAAACATGATCTCGCATCAGAATACTAGTTGTACGCCAGTACTGTCTTAATTGTTCTTCTGCTAGTAATAATGCCTCCTCTTCAGATCTCATCTGTTCCAAATCTTGTTCAGCTGGAAATTAAAATAAAAATGTGCATATGAGTTCATGCAGAAATAATTATGTTGGAGAAATGGGGTGATAACATTCAAATTGTTATAGAAAGAAAACACGTACTTTGACTTATAAACATATTCCTGGTACTAATAGTTTTTTTATTTCAGATTTATAAAATTTGATTATGGGTACATATAATGTCATATAATTATCCATTCTAAAGTCACTTACTGTCAGCAAAAATATGATAACTAACAAACTAACAGAAGTTTCTCCCGAGAGCCTGTAAGCATAAATCAATAATTAGCTCCATATCGGGTTAAATAAATGCAAAAAGTATAACGTACTTTTCATCAGCAACTATGAACTAACAATTGAAAATCAATGAGCATTGGACATCTGTTATGTGATGAGAACTGAATAGCCTCGGTTCTACATTAATAACATTTTTGTATTTTTTTTAATCATAAACATTTTCCCTCTTATTTTAAAAATGTTGTGACTCTGTTTCCCCCCAATGAATGAATAGTTTTTAAAGGAAGTAATTAAAAATTATTTTTTAACGAGTGATATAGGGAAAAATAATTCCTTTAATATTTATTATTTCTGCGAGCTTTGTACGTCAAGAATTTACTTAGCGTCAGCTTAGTGGTTTGTATATCTTAATTAATAGATATAAGTTGATCAATTTCAAAATATTGTTTCTTGAAGCAATAACTAAAGCGGAATTCGAAACTGTTAGACGTCTGCTTACTTCAGAAATATCAGCCTTTAATGTTATAAGCTTTGTGTACCCATCTTATCGTGAGCAGAGAAATCTTCGGGAAGTTTTCAATGTGTGATACAAGTTGTTTTCACAGTTTAATCTCCCACTTTAAAATGTATAAAACTATACGAATGAAGTGTAGGGTATAGCAGAAAGCTGTGCACCATGGAATGATGTGAATAACATTAGATGGATATTTAACATTCTTAATAAAAATTTAGCAGTTTCTCAACATGAAGTCACCTTATTTGCTTATTAAAACTCCTTTCTGAAGCAAGATCTAAATTAATAAATGAGAAATTGGCATCAGATTACTTTAATGAGATTCGCCGACTCTTACCGATATACTTATAAACAGATAATATTTTCAATCAGATATGAAAATAGTTTCGGTTTTAACCCAAGAAGCTGTCCTGTATGTTAGCTATGCATCACCCTGGGTACAAATACAAATACTTATTGACTTGAGTCCCTAAAAATGGTCAACGTGTTTGGCATAAAGTATCAGCAAATTTGTAACTTGTTTTCTTTATTCTGAAAAACTTCGTTAAGGATTCGGTACAAAAGAAAATGATCCTACATACCGCAAACATTAAGTTTTGGCACAATAATAAGTAGGTGAAGGGAAATCAAAATATTCATCTCGTGTTTCTTAATTCAAGACTAAAGCAAATCGCGAAATACTTCAAAAAAATGTATGGATTTAGTTCGAGTTATTGTATAATTATTTTTAACGGAAATTATTAACACCTTTGATAATAATAAAGCTTTGCTATGATAGGGTGACTACTGCTAACGTTATAACCTTTTGACCTATCTAATTATTGTAACTTTATGCTCCCCCAATTGTAAGCTCTCGTTTTACTTATGAACGGTTGTTATGTGTTTTACTATCCCACTATTGGGATTAATCAACTGTTCCTCTTTTGCTCTGATTTTGTTTCACTTATAACTTAGCTATGTACATATTTAAGTTCCTAATTTATGTTGCTGTGTAGTGTATATTATCATACGAGTTTCTGGTTAAAGATGACAATAAAACAATGAAGATGTGTGCTCACTAACTATACCTTTTGATTAGACACTAGCTAATCAAAATTATGGCTCCCCAGTCATTTTTCTCAGCCGCTGGTTGATTGGTCAAGAGGTCATTACGTCATTGATTAAACAGGAGACTGTGAAGCGAAAGGCAGTAAGGTGAATAAATAAGCGAACTCAAAAAATCAATCGCTCTCATAATTATTAAACTGACTGAGGGCAAAAACAAAAGATCGGAACGTGTTTTGATGATACAACTAACTTCATTGCTTACATCCTTTGGAACCCCACATTTTTTCAGCCTTCTGTTTGGTGATTAATATTTGAAGTTGTTTTTGATCATTTACATGCAAACGTATAATACTATGGATGTCTATTTTTAGACGACATAACTCTTCTAAAAGTCCACATTTTTCAAAATTAACAAGAAGAATATATCGACTGATTCCATTATCTGGTTCATCACCTGTTGGATTAATTTGTTAAAAAAAAATAAGTTTTAAAATGAAAAGACACTTTAAAAAATTCTGACAAAAGTAAATTACGTAGCAGTTCTTATCAATTTTCCTCTTTTATATGAATTCCAGTCGAATCATTTTATCAAAAGTGGACATGCTAAACTATTGTTTATCTAAAGTTGAAATGTCATGTCTAATTATTTGAAACTATCATAAAGTTTTCTTTATTAGTTTTAATGGTTTATATTTCCTCTCTTGTTCACATTAAACGTCAAAATGATTATTTTGCACTGGTACATAAGTCTGTTCAATGTATTTCTTCACATTTCCGGAATCTCAAACAATGCTATATTCAAAAGGGCGAAGTAAATACTGAATGAATGGAGATCGAACTAAAGTATGTAAATGGGTAATAGTTCATTTGAGTCCTGGCAGTCTAAAGCCATCAACTAAGCGAAGGTAAAGGATCAAATAGATGGACGTCACTGTAAGATTTAACATTTATTGTAGAGGTTATCAAGACCACGAATAAAGATATAAACTATGCATTACACCAAGTTATGTTTCTTTAGTATCGAGTTCTAATTATTTTAATATCAGAGTCAAGACCTTCAGGTTTAAAGACGAATACCTTGTAGCAAACCTATGAATAAATTGATGCCAAAAATACCGATCACTTATAACATACCAATAGATTCAAAGAAGATTATTAATTATAAAACCTGTAAGTTTTGAATAAAGTCCCGGAATTATCGACGAAAGCCTGCCAATTCATACTGTCGAATTACACATAACTATCTAGTTTACAGTGTAAGGTAAATTACCTTTGTTTTCGTATTATCCTTAAGCAACTCGAGTGCCCGGAAAAGAACATAAGTGAGGAAGGCAACAAACATGCAGCTATCTTCAACTTCACATTTAACGATATTTGCATATATTGTATATAAAATGTATGCCAATCATCACGATGAAATCAAAATAGCCATTTTGGAACCATTATGAATATTAAGTATTCTTTGCTTACAACACTTTCATTAATCGGTAAAATTTCATGAATGAAGAAGGTTTGCCCAAACTTTTCGTGGGACAGAGCAGCTATCGTTTTTTACCTAATATGCTTGTTGTTCAAAATCTTAACTCAAAACAACTGCTATAATCGGAGAAATAAGAAGAGTTAAGTAAAGGTTTAGTGACTTAACTTTGACCGTGATACGACAAAAACATCACGTATACTGAGAACGAAAAGATGCTACAAACAAACTTTCACAAGTTTTTGACCTTTGAAAACACAAAGACCATCATGTATACAACATGCTGTAGTGCGATTGTCTGAGAGCTACCCACTTACCCAGGTATTTCTCTTCTAATGCTTCTTCCCCACGTTTATAAAGTTTACTTTTCTCTTTGTTTACTGGTGGCTCTTGTGATTTTATGACTTTGGCACCAGATTTTTTATCTTTTGGGTTTTCTTTCTTCTTAGTATCCTCCATATGGTTAGTCTTCGGAATTGACTGTGAGATAGATGTGAAAAAACCTAGTTATTTGCAACGTACTTCATACGATATAAAACTCAAGATTTACTTCTTTTCAACTGAGGTAGGGATTTGCATTGGCATTTTACGAGAAAATTTCCACAAAAATGAATACAAATTTCACCAGGTCCACACACGGTTATATGGATCACACTGATTCACGTAGAAAGGATTGTTGTTTTATAGGACATAACTAAAAAGCCGTTAACAAATTACTCGTTACATCATTTTTTAATGCTGATTAAAGTTAGTAAATCAACGGAAACCACTGAATATTTAGAGCTTGATTCAAGGTGTATAAGGTGTATAATAAGATACCAATTAAGGCAGATCTACTTACACTTTAGAGTTAATGACTCGAAGCTCCAGAAACATTGAGACGATTCTCAATCAGCTGAATGAAGAGATTATTTGATAAGATGACTATTTAAAATTCGTTCCCCGCATTTTATAATTTGAGCATTCCACTTCTCTTTATATTGCACCCTTTCATTAGTATCTCTACTGTTTGTTTAAAAGCCAGTCAGATGTAATAGGTCGTTTTAATCTATGTAGCCTTTGGGTTCATATGTGGATCTGTTTGTCTGTCTTTCATTTCAATTACGAAGTATTTTTAAATCAGCGACCAGATGCACTGATAAATTGATTGTCTTAGTAGTAACACTACTAAGTTTACTTGTTGGTTAATCAGTTATCAAGTACCCTAGGTCATCTGTCCTTAAAGTACTCAACATAAAATAAAAATCCATCAAGCTGAAGATCTAGTCATCCAGAACATATTTCAGAAGAGCCAAAACTTCATAAACAACGTACGTATTACCACTGTGCTAGCCGAAATGCAGGGACGAATAAAAAACTTAAATAATAAGCACACACAAAATAAGATCCTTGCGTGGAAATATTTTGAGTTAGACCAGCAACTCTGCGGATAGCAAATCAATATATATATCATTTTAGAATGAAGTTTGGCAATTATATGTTGGTAAATAAACGCTTATAGCAAGTCACTTATTCATAAATAAGGATTGTTTCTGTATGTTTCCTAACTGCAGACTGAATTAAACCATCCTTTCATCTGACTTAGTTAGTTAAAATATTGCTCAATGTAACAAAGTATTGGTCAAATCATAGTTATCTTCAAAATGCTTATGGTTTTCTATCAACAATTGGTAGTCAAAAGTAATAAACTTCCAAAATATTTGGTAAAAGACAATTTTCAACCGAAATGTATATTACCGTCAGAACTTTTAACCAGTGAAGAACTGGAATTTATTTAGA